AAACTGTTACACAAATAGAGTAACTACTGAGTGAGCTGTTATAAAAGTTCTTAAGTGACCGTGTTTAAGTGCACACATATGATTAATGATAAAATTCATAAGAACTTGAAGAAATCTTTGAACATATCCCCCTGTCCCTTGTCAACTTCGACTCTGTCAGAAAAGGCACTATGTACAGTTGAAAAGATAAGAGAAATAGGTCTATTTCTTCCAGCATGCCTGGAACTCCTGAACCATTTCAGTTTGCTTGCACACTTTACTGTCAAACCACATTTTGCAGAGATGTTTAGAATTTAGATAATGCACTTGGCACAGACAGCAGGATTCCAAATTCATCTAATGGAAAAGACTGCAACTGTGCGCAAGTGGAGTAAAAACCTTCCATAATGACCAGAATAGGACATTGAATTCCCTCAGCAAAAACCAGCACAAACAGACAACTCAAATGGCAAAATGCACATGGTAACTCACTAAATTGAAGTGGAAGGCTTTAAGTTTTTGTTGAGTGCATTCTGTACTTTTCATTTGTGTCCCTAAATCGCAGTTCTTGGACCACTGCATTGCTAAGAGCAGTATGGTTAAAAATTATGTAACTGATAATATAATTTGGTACGAAAGAACGACAATTACTTAATATCAGAGGATTAAATCTCCCTAAGAAATTACCTCTGTAAAACAAGAAGTTGCAACATTGACTTATGAAACCAGAAATGGGTACTAGATTTTGTCAAATGTCTTTTCTGTTCTTAAAAACTTAAAAAAATAAGAAAGTGACTTGGGGGCCATACCATCATTTCTCAGGGTTTACTCCTAGTCATGCTCAGGAGATCATAATCTGGTACCAGGGACTGAATTCAGGTCAGCCGTGTGAAAGGCACACACCTTAACCCTTTACAATTGTTCTGGCTCTAAAGAGATCTATGTATTTTAAAGCATGTATTAAAAACTTGCTCAAAATACTACCACAAACTTAAGAACATGTTTTTGATCATTCACTCTGTCTCCTACCCACAATCATCCCCACAATTATGACACAAGCTGTGCATGAGACCACCAACTGGTTAGAAAGTGACAGAGACCCTGCTCAGATAAAACTATGATGTGAGGGCTGAGCTGACAGCATAACAGTAAGGTGCTTGACTTGCACCCAGCTGCCTGGGGTTATATCTCCAGTATCCCGGATGATCCCCTGAGCATTGCCAAGTGTATTCCCAAACAAAAACAAAACAAAAAACTGATGTGGAAGCTTCTTTTTCTTCATCTTCGTCTTTTTATTCACCAGCACCCACCTTGGTGTCTTTAAACTAGTTACATATAAGAATTCCCATGACAATATTTTAGTTTTTTACTCTTTATTTTTGTGAATAAAATGCGACATACATATTATACTTAACAATGAAAGGTGATGAGACAAAATAATATTAACTTTTGAAATGGGAGGCAGCATAAAATACTGGCATTTCTGGTGATGTATGACTTTTCAATCAAGTCACATAATTTTAGAAAACAGTTTTAAAATTCCTAAAGAAATGATGTCATTTCAAAATTGAGGTGAGCGTGTATGTATAAAACTACTGGAAATACTTGAAAGAAACACTTAATCCATGTCATATTAGTCTTCGTCAAATGACATTTATGGAAAAAGGTTGAAAATGTTTGTCAGAAAACAGGAACTATTCAATTTCATAAGATTTTTTCCCGCCGGAGCATGTAATGTATTTGTGAAAAGTAGGTGAAATATGTTTACTAGAATGAAGGGATATTTAATCTCGTCACTTTACAGGCAAGTGCATTATGGGAGAGCAGTTGAAAAGTGGCTGAAAGTAGAAAATTCATTCCTATACTAGAAAACTGTTTCTCAGCACAATTAAAAAAGACAAAGACTGAAGGACACAATTCTCTTATAGTATTTCCGAAGGTACAGTGACAGAGTATTTTTGGTTTTAAAGCTTTTATATTATTAAATGTGTATTACTAAACATACATTAAAAGCTAACTGAAGTGGCTTAATCATCTGACTCAGGGCAGTTTGTAACAAAAGATGTTTAAAGTCCATTACTTTTTCCCCAAAGTGGAAAGTGAGGTAGTTTATACTGTGTATATATTGTTAAAAAAAAGTGTTATTCCAGTTTGAAGATGATTGGAGAATTATACTACCAAGAGAGTTGCTTGACAAAGGAATTCTCTTTGCAGAATGGAGGAAGTCGAGGGGTCTTTTTTGCATAACTATTCCTAAACTTTATTCAATATGTTCCTGTGTATATTTGGGATAGGAGTGGTGGGGGACAGTGACTGGCCATACCTGGTGGTGCTCAGGGGTACTCCTGACTATGTGCTCAGGGATCACTCTGAATTGTGCTCAGACAACCATATATAGTGTCTGGCATCAAAACTTAAACCCTGTTATTATCTTTCCGGCCTTGGTGATTTTTTTCTTAATGCCCCACCAATAGCACTTGGGAAAATATAGAGTAGAAAATGAATTGTATTTAAAAGCCCAATATTTAATCTTCTTTTGCTGCATATGTACTATTTTGATAGTATTACTGTGACTATTTAAAAACAAGTCTTGGTAAAGTTAGTTTTTTTGATAGTTATGACAGACATTAAAAATTTTCAACTGTAGGGATTTATTTATTCCTAAAAATGAATTTAGTAAAAAGAACCTCTTTAATCACATAAAAATTATTCTGCGTTTTTACTGACTATTCTTCTCTAATTCATTACTTAATCATTTAGCATAGAATAAAAGTTGATTTCCAATGATTCTGTTTTTTTTTCTTCATTTGTTTGGTCACACCTGGCTGTGCTCAAGGCTTACTCATGTCTTTGCACTCAGGAATTACTCCTGGCAGTGCTCAGGAGACCATATCGGGTGCTGGGGATGGAACCGGGGTCGGAAAGCTGCAAAGTCAGCACCATAACTGCTGTACTATCATTCCAGCCCCTGATTATGGTACTGAGATGCTTTGTCATTCAATATAATTAATTGAAAGTAAATTCAAGTATACCCTTGAATACCTTATGGTGAGTAACACACTGATTTAGCTAAGACATTGGTATGCAAAATTATACAAAATGGGTGACAAATCAGAAACTTATTGTCTGACCTGACACCTATTATTTACTTATTTAAAATTAGTGACCAGTGAAATTACTACTGAAACCTTGAGAACAGATGCTAAAGTCGTGTTTTCAGTACAAAGTAAATAAATATTCCCAAGTAAAAATTTTAATGAATATATCTGTGAATTTTCTATATAAACACAGCAGAAGTTAAGTATTCTAAAGATAGGAAGTACAGTATGAAAACATGTGTGTAGGCATAAATTCCTGCCATCTTATGCCATGAAACTTAGGAACTGCATAAAGTAAAATGTTTTTGTTGCTTGAATTGCAAAAACAGTAAGAATAGTTTTAGACTCATAACTCATTATGTAATCTCAAGAGCCATCAATTTGCTAGAAATTAAAAACTGATGAAATGTAGGAAAAAAATTCTCAAGCAAATAAAATGAATGGATACAGAAGTTTTTGGGAAAAAAATACTAAAGGCCAGAAATGTAATTATCTACAATATATTGGGCATAAATAATGTTTTTATAAACATCAAAGTACAAGGCAGCATATATAAAATTTCTTCTAATATGGGGTTAAATGATCACATTATGCTTTGAAACTTGGAATGCAGATAAAACTATGTATTATTTGAATTATGACTAAGTCACTTGATCACTTGACTTCCCGTTAATCATCGATTTGCTCGAGCGGGTGCCAGTAACGTCTTCATTTGTCCCTATCGCATGCTAGTGTAGCCCAGTGGCATCTGTTTGTTCTAGGAACATGAAGAGCCTAAGTCATTTGGGCATTAAATCTCATTAAAACTGATATTAGGGGAAGGAGAGACAACATATCTGGTAAGGCCTTTTGCTTTGCATAGGGCTAATGTGGGTTCGGTTCCTGCCATCCCATATGGCTCCTTGAGCACCACCAGGAATGATTCCTGAGTGCAGAGCCCTAAGCATCTCTGGGTGTGACCATTTTTCAGCATAAAAAAAGAAAAAAAAACAGTTGATTTAAAAGTTCATCAAGATGTTAGTGTGGGGGTTCTCTCTCAACGCATGCGGAGGGTAAAAGAGACCTCTGTTCCTATTTCTACCTAGCACTAATACTGTATCTCTAATCTTAAGATGGGATGCAGCACTGTCCAACCCCCTCAGTGCATTTTAGATTTGCTTTCAGTTATAACTGTGGAGGACTGAGTGTTCTGCTCAATTGCAGGTCTGGAAAATGGATCCTCAGGATATTCATAGCAGACAGTTTTCAGCTAACCAAATATGAATCTGATTTTATAGCCGGAAGCTAACCCACAAAGCATGGCCAAGTCTATGATTGATGAATGTAAGCAAAATCTGGTTTTTACAGCATATAAAATCTGGCTGTGACAGTATTTTTCAGCACTTCTGAATAAAGAACAGTTGGCTGAAGACAGTTTTGTATTTTTAAGCGGACATGCAGAAGTGATGTTCTACAGTAATAAGAAATGATACATCTGATCAGAAAAGGAGATTATGTCTAGAACAGAAGAAGCTATTCATTGAGCACCATAATCATGAGGAGAATAGAGGTTCTGTAACTGCTGACCGTAAAGCAGGTCATAAAAGCAGAAGAAAACCCTTTGTCAAACTAAGCTTTGTTATAGGGACCTAGGTTCAAAGAGAAAAAGACAGACATTACTTTTCAACAGTCTAAGATAGAAAAGTCTTCATTTGCACCAGAATGCTAATAGTCAAAATACAGTACAACATACATAACAATACAGTGTTCTTAAACAGAAGTTCTTCCTTCTCCAATTCAGGAGCAAGTTAGAGCATAAATATTGCAGGTGTAACTTTAGAAATAGGTTCCCTTTGGAAAGTAGAACTGAATTATTTTGCAGAGCAAAAATGACTGGTATTTCTTGCATTCTTGCTCAAAAAAAGATGAATATATATATGTATACATATATATATATAATAAGTAAAAAAGTCTCTTTCCACCTCTTTGGAAGCATTTGTCACATAAAGAATATGCCTTCTCCCTAGGTATAGTTCAAGTTCATTTCTGCAGGGAGTCAACCTATTAGAAATGCTCAGCGTTCCATCATATTCTAGACTGGCCTTTCTTCCGGAAAGACTGCACCATCTTTCCTTCTCTTGAATCAAGGCACCACCATGAGAAAGCATCAGCCCAAATGATTAACCAGCTCCTCTTCCATAGTTCATGTTGGCAATGTCAGGAGGAGACACCATTTGGACTGAAAACATCATAGGAACAAACATGTCAAAAGCAGTCTTGGTTTTTCCCTAAGAAATGGAGTATCTTCTTGGCAAGTTATATACAACATCTGCCTTCTTGAGGGGTATTTCAAAAATGTGGCTGAGGTTTTATTACCCACTCTGCTTGAGGATTCATATGATACACATCCAATATATAAGCATCTGGATCCAAGCAATGCTGTCCTAAAATAAAGAGAAAATCATAGAATACAATAAATAGTGCATACTTCTATGTGTGCATATATGTCTGTTAGTGTCTGTGTGCCTCTAAGCTCCAATATGACAAGCATAGTTCTCTCAGCCATAAGTAGCACTGCACTGAAGCACTGTCCTCCCATTGTTCATCGATTTGCTCGAGTGGGCACCAGTAACGTCCCTTCCTCTTCTGTTCCTTCACTTTCCGTGAAGAAATTGAAGTCCCAGGTGAAACTGGGAAAACCAGATATATCAACCAGAGGTAAGTTGCTCTCTAGTCTTACCACATCAATTAAAAAATATGGCAAGAACATATTTCAGGCAATAAACTGATAACTAATATGATAATATGTGCCATGTAATGATTTTATAGATAATAACTTGATTCTGATGAGAAGAGACAGAAATGTTCATTTCTTTTGTGTGTGTGTGAAGCAAAGCAGTTCTTATTCACTGAAACTTGCTGAGAAAGATGTGAGAGGAGAGAAAGAGGGAAAATATGTTCAAGAGAGAACACAGGCTTCTCCAGAGGGAAAAGAAGCATGCAAAGAAACACAGATGCAAGCAAGCAAGATATGTGTTCAAGGAAGAGTGCAGGCTTGAAACTCAAGTCTCGGTGCATTTCTTTCCTATGAATAAGATGCCACAGGCAGGGGATTAGTAAATAGTAAAGACCAAATTAATTCATGACAAACATAGTGGGAAAGCGTTATGTACACTGTGATTAAATGTATATAGAAGTCCAAACAAAACTACTGAAATTTATTTGCTCTATTTATTCATTTATCAAGTATTTATGAGAATTGTTATGTGCTCTACTTTAGAGCACAGTGGCTACTACAATAATCATCAGACTGTCCAAATTACTTGCCCCCAGAATGTTTGGCATTCTGAAAATGACCAAAGGCAATGAGCAAATAAGTAAACATAATATAAATCAAATGTGCAAGTGGTAGCATTAGAGAACCACAAAGCAAAGAAAGGAAATGAATCAAAGTTGCTGATACTGAGATGCTAACACAGTAACAAAAACCCGAAGGAGGTGAAATATGAGAAATGAACAATCTAAAGGGCAAGAGTGACAGCAAATTCAAAGTCCCCAAGGCAAAATGTGCTTAATGAGTGCATAAAAAATGGTGATGTTTGCAGGGGAAGTCTGCATATAATTCAAAGTGGGATTAGCATGAGGATGTGTTCAAAGCAACAGACAGTTCACCAACAAAGTTCCGTGTAGAGAAGGTTCCAAAGACAGAGCCCCACGGCGCTGCAATGTCAAGAGGTTGAGAAGATGAGAAATAATGGACAAAGAGAGTCCGAGGAACAGCCAGTGAAGTGGGTGAAAAGCCAGCAGCTTAGTTTGCCCTTGAAGCCAGATGAAGAAAAAAAGGAAGGATCAACTCAAAGCAATTATAAAGACAGGTGAAGGACAAGATTTTAAACCATGAGAGTTCTCTGGTGACTCCAACAAGAGAGCAATTTTAGTGAAGTGTAGAGGGCTTAAGCTTGACTTAAGTGCTTTCCAGAGAGAACACAAGGAAGAAACTGAACAGAGAGAACAGATTCGAAGAATTTTTGCTGCAAAGTAGAGCAGAGGACTGAAGGTCAAGAGAGACGTTGGAAAGAAGAGAGAAATTAATTTTTTTTGTTTTTTGTTTTTCCTGAGGATGTAGTTGAGTGGTTGAGCACTTGCCTTGCATGTGGTTAGCCTCTGGGTTTAATCCTCCACCCCCACCCCACCCCCTCAACACACTCTATTTTCTGTTTATTTGTTTTGGTTTGAGATGCTCAGTGCCCAGTGGTGCTCAGGATTTACTCATGGTTCTGCACTTCGGGATGGGGTCTGGGAACCGAATATGGTTTAGGAGATTGAATTCTGCTCAGCCATGTGTAAGGCAAGCGCCTTCTCTGCTGTATGAGCACTCTGGTCACACCATCGCGCACACACACACACACACACACACACACACACACACACACACACACTTTCATTATAGTATAAATGCACATATAGACCATATATATGTATACATATACTTTAATGAAGCTAGAAATGATTGATGTGCTTATGAGAAAATACTCATAAGGAATGGGATGGCTGGAGTGTTGCTCTAGTTGGGTAGAAGGGATCACAAGGGGAGGCGCTAGTTTTAATTAAGCAGGAAATCATATTTCATGTGGACAGTGGGGAAGGCAAGCAAAAGATCTGGCTGCCATAGCTGCAGAAACAAGAGATGGAGCTTTCTTTTGACTCCTTTGTCACTTGCTCCCTCTGCCCTTCTCTCCAGGGAAGTAAAAAGAATACAGTTTGTCCTTAGAGATGGCTTGGATAGATTATGTGCACACATTGCATGCATGAGGCGTTGGTTCTATCCCTGGCACCTCCTGGTCCCCTGAGCACCACCAGAAATAATGTCTCCTTCCATCTCCACCCCCCAAGCAAAAATCCAGGAGTAGTTTCTGAGCACCACTTGGTGTGACACAAAAACTGAAACAAAAGAATACACTTGGAACAAGAGTGAAAGTAGGGAAGTGAAACTTTCTGAAAGTGGGCCTGAGTCATAGTACAGAGGGTAGGGCATTTGCCAGGGTCAATCTTTGACACCCCATATGGTCCCTCAAGCCCACCTGGAGTAATTCCTGAGAGCAACCACTAAGCATCACTAGGTGTGGCCACAAAAGAAAAAAACAAACAAACAAACTTTCTGAAAGTTCCCATGATGCTCTTCTCTGATGTTCTCCAGAAATAGACTTTTCAACTTTAAGTCACATTTATTTATTTGCGTTTTGGGCTAAGTGCAAATAAATAAATGTGGTGCTCAGGGGTGATTTCTGGCACCACACGGGGACCATATGGGATGCCACAGGCCAAACCCAGGTCAGACTCAAGCAAGTCCGGAGCCTGACCTGCTGGGATGTTGTCACAATGAAAAGACCTCAAAGTCTAATACGCATCAACTAAAATATTTGTTTCTATTTTGAAACAATTTTTAAAACTACAACTATTCTTTTTGTTTGTTTTTTTGCCACACCTGGCAATGCTCTGAGGTTTTTCCTGTCTCTGCACTCAGGAATCACTCCTGGTGGTGCTCGGGGGACCATATGGGATATCAGGGATTGAACTGGGGCTGACAGTGTGCAAGACAAATGCCCTACATACTGTACTCTTGCTCCAGCCCCACAACAAACTATTTTTATATGATACAGTTAAAAACAAGCAAAAACTGGGGGGTGGAGAGAATACTTGATGGCTTAGTGCATGATTTACATGGAGAATTCTGGCACTGAAGGTTCCTGAGCACCACTTGGGACGGATTCCCAAGCAGAGAGCTGAGATTAGCCCCTAAGCACTGTCTGGTATAGCCCTTGAACAGAAACTTCACCCACTGCAAAAAAAAAAAAAAAAAAAAACCAACGAAACCCAGAAAGTGGGGTAGGGGAGAAAGCTGAAAGGGGTAGATGTGTACTTTACTTGCAGGAACCCCAAGTTCAGTTCCTGGCAACAGGCTCCTCAAAAGAGCACCAGACATGGTTTTGCCCCAAACAAAACCTATTTCTTATCTAAGAAATCTAAGATGTCCTTTTATGATAGCAGCAGCATAAACCAGAGAATTGAGAAGAATAAACCACTACAGAATGCTTACCTATATTTCCTCCAATTTCATATAACCTTTGGTTCTGAATCTTAATGCATTCCGATGGACCATGACTGAGAAAAGAAGAAAGCAATATAATTTTAACTTTCTTTCATGACTGCGTGTAAATCTGTAGATTCAATAACCATGGTAACTAATAATGCGTTCGTAATTGAGTGAAATACATGCTGCAAATCATTACTATCACTGGCTATGATTTTCAAATATTCACATTTTTCCTCTCAGAAAAGATCCTGAGGGCGGGTCTATTCCAAACCCAAATAGATGCTGCTGGGCTCTCCAGCAGGCCTGAATATGCACTAGGTTCTAGGTAGGAACCTGTTAACTGACCTATAACTAGTCAAGCAGAAGCTGCACAGTTAATATTACCTTGTATTACTTCTCTCAGTTCAAATGAATTCAGATTCATTTTCTAGAAACTTACTGGAATTCTCGCCTCGGCCCAACTCTCATTTTTTTTTTTTTGCTTTTTGGGTTACATCCGGCAATGCACAGGGGTTACTCCTGGCTCATGCACTCAGGAATCACTCCTGGCGGTGCTTGGGGGATCACATGGGATACTGGGAATCGAACTCAGGTCGGCCGCATGCAAGGCAAACGCGCTACCCACTGTGCTACTGCTCCAGCCCTCCAACTCTCATTTTTAAGCTTGCCCAAACCTTTGCAGATGGTCTAATGTTGACTTCATTGCATGTCTCTGCTCTAAAATAAAAGTAAGTTAGAGAAAATAATTGCCCAATTAAAATTTTCCACTTCAGACTAAAACACTGAGTAAAAGAATCTGGAAAAGATCATTGTTATTTCCATTACACTAAGGATGACTTTCAATGTGGCTACTTCAAACCTGTCTTCAGTGTCTTATTGTGAGGAAGAAGGATGTGTATCTTCTTTTAGTTTGAATCACTGTCACTGTCAATGTGCTCCTGTTGTTCATCGATTTGCTAGAGCGGGCCCATGGTGAGACTTGCTACTGTGTTTGGCATATCGAATACGTCATGGGTAACTTGCCAGGCTTTGCTGTGTGGGCAAGATACTCTCGGTAGCTTGCCGGGCTCTCCGAGAGAGGCAGAGGAATCGAATTCAGGTCGGCCGTGTAGGCCACATGCAAGGTAAACACCCTACCCGCTGTGCTATTGCTCCAGCCCTTAGAAAATTTTTATATGTGATAATTATAGGGTTACATGTTGTAAGAAATTATACAGACAGGTCTTGTGTACTCTTTTTTTTTTGGGGGGGGGTGAGGGTGTGCATCTGGTGATGCTTACTCCTGGCTCTGCACTGAGGGATCCATCCCTCCAGGCTGGCTCAGAGAACCCTATGTGGTGCAGTTGATATAACTGGGGAAGCTGTACTATCTCACCCACTCTTTTATATTTTTTATTTTAAAAACTTTTTAATTGAATCACTGTGAGATTATCTCACCCACTCTTGATTCTACTTACTACTCATTACCCAGCTCTGCCAGCAAATATTCTCAACCTTATATGGTCCTTATTAAGAAAAAAAATTATTCAGTGCCCCCCTAGAAATCTACCTTCTTTAGCAAAACATTGGTAAGGACACTGATAAGGAAATTTGTGTTAATTAAGCCACATTCAAGTGTGAGCCACTGGTGGTATAGGCAGGCATTAATGTGTTAAGTAACAGAAGGTCCACAAGCCCTGCCCCCCACCACTCCATTTGCACCTGAGGCTGCTATTAGCTTACTTTCTCATTTGTTCCAGCAGCCCCAAGGGGGAAGTATCACCCACTTTGGGAAACACTACACAGGATATCTTGCAAAACTCTAAAGCAGTATTACAATTAGAATGTAGATATTTAAACAGCCCATATACCTAACATTTCCAATGGCACAGGAAGTCTTGCTTATCCCCATCCCTTTTTAAAATATTAAAGAAAAACATTAGGGACTGTGACTTATTGTTAATGGGAGGGTTTCATGCATACAATGTTCCAGCACCACACCCTCCACCAGTGTCCACTTCCCTCCATCATTGTCCCAGCGTCCCCACTATTTATCTCTACACACCTGTACCCCAACCTTGGTAAGCTTACTTGGTAGATCAATTCTCAAGCTCTGTTGCCTTTAGGCATCTGTTCTTCCCTTACCTTGTTTGTTTACATAGCAGATATGAGAGAGACCATTTGTATCTGTTCCTCTCCTGACTAATCATCCTGGCTGACCTTATAGCCTTTCACTCCCTCTGCTTGTCCCCCATCCCTACTGCCATTCTTTATGCTTGTCAGTCATTATTCTACATTTCTACAAATTTTAAATGTTATGGAATTGAAAACATTCAGTAATTGATTTTTTTCTGTATTCATTTTTTTCCCCCTCAGCATATGCCCCTAGAGATTCATCTGAGTGGTAAAATACTGAGCAGTATACATAATATGAATATTCTAGTTAATTTAGTCATTTACAAGTTGAAGAAAACTTGTTTTACTTGCACATTTTTGGCTATTATAAATAAAACTGGTATCAGCATTCCTGTACAGGTTTTATGTGAATACTCTTGATTTCTTTGGGATAATTGTGAGGACTATGTAAACTGAAGCACAGGAGAGTTATATATGTAAGTTTTGAAAGAAATTCAAACTCTTTGAGTATCTGCACCAGTTTACATAAGAGTGATCCAGTTTCTCTCAATCTGGCAGGATTCGGAGTAACTCCAATTTTTATTTTGGTCATTCCTATAGGTGATGGAAGTATGTCACCTATACATCCCCTTCTGTGAAATGTCTGTTAATATCAGTTGCACATTTTCAATCAGTTTTATTAGTGGGTTTCATTTTACTGCTGAGTTTTCTGTTCTTGATACACTCTAGATATTAGTCCTTTGTTGGTTTTGTGGCTTTTAAATTTTTCTCTATTCTTTAGCTTGTTATTTATGCATTCACAGTCTTTCAGTTGTATACGTTTTCATTTCTGGTGAAGTTCAACTTATCAGTTTTCATTTCTTATAGACAATACATTTTTAAAAATTTTTATTAGTGAGACACCATGAGGTATAGTTGTAGACTTACAAATTTTCGTGCTTGGGTTTCAATTATACAATGATCAAATACCCATCCCTCCACCAGTGCCCATTTCTCACCACCATGGATCCCAGTATCCCTCCCACCACCCATCCTCCCCAATCCCACTCTGCCTCTTTGGCAGGGCATTCCCTTTTGTTCTCTCTCTCCTTTTGGGTGTTGTGGTTTGCAAAAGAGGCAATGAGTGGCAATCATGTTTGGTCTATAGTCTACTTTCAGCTTGCTTCTTCCACTCCTGGGAATATATCCCAGAGAGGCAAAAAAGTATAATCGAAGTGACATCTGCACTTGTTTGTTCATTGCAGCATTCTACTCTTTATAGCCAGAATCTGGAAAAAACCTGAGTGCCCGAGAATAGATGACTGGTTATAGACAATATTTTTAATGTCAAGTTTAAGAACTCTTCACTATCCTTTTATCAAAAAGGCTTTTTCCTGTGTTTCTAGAATTTTTGAATTTTTAGTTCATTTTAAATTAATCTTTGCATAAAATGTGAGGCTTACAATAAAGGCTTTTTTTTTGCTTATGACACTGAATAACCAATAATTTCTATATTTTTACTAACTAAAGGCTCATATTTTACTCAGAATAGTTTATTTATTTTATTTCCCCTAATTTGTGTTTTCTGTTTAGGGCTCAATCTGGAACATGGCTTTACATTAAGTAATTACAGTTGGTCGAACTAAACTCTTTCCCAAGGGTCAGATTCACCTGAATGTCAGATGAATGGACTTTATTGGGATGTAAGAATCTTATACGCTAAATCTAATTCTAAATCATCCTGAATTTAGGGGATGCCCTAAATTAGTGTTTCTCAAAGTGGGTAGTACTTCCTGTTCCAAAGCTTGCCTCCCAACCCTCTGGAACAATTCAGAGGGGTCACATACCCTCAGGTGTAAAGCTTTCTGTTCCTTTGTTTAAAGAAGGTAAGTCTTGAGGGGGGCACCGAGTAATTGCTTTTTCTTCCTGAAAAGGGAGTGTTGAGGCCAAATCAGTTGGGAACCTCTGCTCTAAATCTAGTCACTGGCATTGTTGCATGAAAGGCAGCAGAAGTGTAACAGCGGAAGAGAAGCAATCACAGTTCTAGGAGAGCTGCTCTCCCACAGGAGTTTCTCCCTCAGGGCTTTTAGAAGGAATCAACCTGACTGACAGCCTCATCTCAGACTTTCGGCCACTGTCCAGTGAGAATAATCTACCACTGTTATTTACTTTGTGATGATTTTTTTTAAATGGAAATGCAAGGACATTAATGCAATCATCATGCTTTTCTAACATTTCCTTGGACAGGAACACTTTCTAACACTTGTTCTTAATGACAGTTTTGAGGACTGGTCAGGCATTTTGTAGAATTACTTTTCAACTTGGATTTTTCTAAAGTTTTTCTCATGTTTAGAGTCACATGTGTGGCAGAAGTCATGTGTCATTTCATCACATCTTATCAAGGGTTCAGGTTATCAATGGGACATCACTGTTGCCAGTTGATCCGGCAGAGTGCAGAGGTCTCATTTGTAAAGTTATTCTTTTCTTTTCTTCACATGTTGTGCTCTTAGAACATAAACCATGAGGGGTAGTGAACCTCTAGCCTTCTAGCCTTTAAAATATATCTTTTTCTCCAGACATTGAATCCTCATATTACAAAGCGCAAGTTCTGCTTCAACCATAAAAATGGGAAATGTTCACTGGTGGAAGGATGGGTGTTGGAACACTATGACTGAAACCCGACCAAGAATAGCTTTATAACTCGGCATCTAGGAGTGATTCAATAGTTTTATGTAGCCAATAAAAATAAATAAATAAATAAATAATTTAAGAAATGCGCTAGTAGTAGAATGGTCTATTACATCCCATTTTTACCCTTTCTTATTTTTTTCTCTTCCCCTCTAATGTCCCAAGATCTATTATCATTTCCTTTCTGTTTAGAAAAATTCCTTTAGTCATTATGCACAAGTTTGCTAGCTACAAAATAATCTTTTTTTTCCTTCAGCCAAAGATTGCTCATCACTCTAGAAGTAGCCTCATCACTCTAGAAGTAGCTTTTTTCACTAATACAATTGATGGTTGATAGTTATTTTCTTTTAGTATACAGAAAATATCATGTCACTTTCATCTGGCCTCTATGGCTTCCAATGATAATCTACTGTGACTTGAATTGTCACTCACTATAAAAAATGTAGGGCTTCTCACTGGGTGATTTCAGGATTTTTATTACCTTTATTTTTTACAATGTTAATAATGATTTTTTTAAGCTTTAATCCCTATGCTTTCTTTTTAATTCGGGATGTTTTCAGTGATTATTTAGTTAAATACTTTTTTTTAAATTTCCATTAACCTTTAGGTTTTTTTTTTTTTTAAATAATGCCACTGTTTTCTTTCCTTTTGGTACTGATACTCTTGTTATGTTTCCATGAATGATACTCTTGTTATGTTTCCATGAACCTCTGCAGCTGTGTTTATTAGTTTGATTGGTTTATTTTCTCTCTGTTGTACAGAATAAATTCTACCAATATATCCTCCAGTTCACCAAGATTCTCTTCTCGGTCATGCCCACACTACTACTGACATCTGACAGCATGTGTTTTACTTCAATTATTGTATTTGGTTCTAGAATTTCAACACTTTTTAAAAGGTAAAATTGTTTTATTTGGGAAGGGGGAAGTGGGAGAAAGAGACTAAAAGTCTCAAAAAATAAAAAAAAAGTATATTCCCTACAATATGATGGAGAAGATTCTGGGGTGCAAAGACTCCACTTTTATAAATAGTTATCCCTTTGGTGATATTTTCTATATATTTGATATTGAAATTCAATGAAAATTCGTAATTGCTTTTTGAAGCATTTTCTTTTTTTAGGGAGGGGGTTTGATGGCTACTATAAAAGTTTTTTCAGAACAGATTTTTAAAGAATTTTCACAAAGTAACCACATTGTATAACCAACTCCAATATCTAAAAAGAAATCCCTTAAAACCTCTTTTAAATTAATGACTTGCCTTTCATCACCTTTGTAACCATCCTTATACAAAATCTCGATACTGGGGAGCAGAGTGATAGTAAAGTGGGTAGGGCACTTGCCTTATACAGGTTCAATCCCTTAGCATCCCACATGGTCCCCCAAGCCCTGCCAGGAATGATTCCTGAGTTCAGAGCCAGGAGTAAACCCTGAACACTGCTGGGTGTGTCCTCCCGAGCACTCTCCCCACCCCCCCCAAAAAAAAATCCCACAAAAACCGCCTAACATCACTTACTTAATTGGTTAGATCAATGGTGAGGATGCCTTTTACCCATTTTTTTCCTCAAGGGTCACTTGAATATTTTAAACATCATTCACAGGCCAAGCAATACAGATCGATGGATTATGGGAAGCCTATGAGAATCAGACTTGTCTATCCCATCGAGTACCTTGGCCAGACCTCAATTCTGTGAGCCGTATAAGGCCCTGGAGCCAGATGGTCACCATCCCTGGGTTATATAATCATGTGTATTTTTAAGATCACTGACACTGTCATTGTCCTTCCATTGTTCATTGATGTGCTCGAGTGGGCCCAGTAACGTCTCCATTGTGAGACTTGTTGTTACTGTGTTTGGCATATTGAATAAGTCACGGGTAGCTTGCCAGGCTTTGGCGTGTGAGCAAGATACTCTAGGTAGCTTGCCAGGCTCTCAGAGAGGGACAGAGGAATCAAACCTGGGTTGGCTGCATGCAAGGCAAATGCCCTACCCGCTGCGCTATTACTCCAGCCCTTAAAATATTTTAAGATAAAATATTTAAATTTAAATCTTTGTATCTTAAAATACTGTATCTTAAAAATTTAAAAGATACAATATTTAAGATATAATATTTAAATTCTTTGGATTCTTTGCACAGTTCTTTTCAATGCTAACATTTCAAAAACACACAGTAATGTCACAATTAGGATACTGACATGATTCAATTCACCATCTTATGCAGATTTCCCATTTTACACAACTGTATGTGTATCTAGTTCTATGCAATTTCATTGTATGTTTTACACCACCACATCAAGGCACCAGCCAGTTCCTACCCCACAATGTTATGATCTTGTCTTTTTTAACCATATCCATTCTCCCTCTCTATCTCTGTGGTCACCTCACCCAAATGTCCGGTAATCATTATCTATCCTCCATTTCTCAAAGTTTTTCATTTAAAAGTGTTATATATAAGTGATACTTTGTATTAAAAAGCTTTGCAATTGGCTTTTTTTTCTCTCCCAGCACTGACAGTCCTTTATAATTTGAGAGTTCTTATTTAAAGCATAAATCAGTGTTCACGAGAAACCATGAAGCTGAATGAGTTCTCTAATGAGCAGATTTAAATAGTTCTTTTCTTACCTTTCAAAAACCTTAGGGAAAATATTTATTCTTGAGGGGATATGCAAGAACAAGAATTATTATGATTTACTAGCTTTTAGGATGACTTTCAGAAAATATCAATTATTTTATAAATGTCATTCTAATCCCAAGATTTATTGATAGCATATTTAAAGGAAAACTGCTACGAAGTCTACCTAAATACATAATCTCAGTCTGATACAGGTATATTAAGACCCAGTGAAACCCAGAATGATATTCCTGAAAATATATTAGAACTTTTAGAGACTCAATATGCTATTTATTTTTATTGCAATGAAACTAAAATTCAAATAAATGAAGCCACCAAAACATAAAAACACCTATTAACATTCCATTTATAAAAATCCTTTAAAAAAGTACTCATGTTACTGACAATTCTAAGGTTTACTTAACACTGCTTGACTCTATATCTGTTCACTAAATTGCCAAATTAACAGGCTCTAATCTTTCAAAAAGACTAAATTCAAATGTGTATATAAAGTGTATATAAAGTTACTCATCGGCTAAACACTCATGTTCTTCATTCACTCTTACCTGTTTTCATACTGAAATTTCGCCAGGATGTCTTTGGCTTTGGTTTGGCTATTGAGTTGAATGGCCATGGACACCTTCGAGAAAAGTGGTGCATGAACTCGTATAACTCCTTCTGGCACATCAGACTGCCGATGAGGAAAAATTGAAAGTAGGGTTAACATAGTCTCTGATTGCACTTTAAGAGACATTAAAAATCGTGATATGGTAAATAGGATCAGTACTGAACCTGAATGAAATAATGCTCCTTATTTCACAGGAGAGTTTCACCATCACCTAAACTAAACCTGGGATTTTGCTCTCCTTACAGGCTTAGGACTGACTGCACAGTAAAGCCTGAGGATTCTGAAAGTGGCTTTTTTTGTGCGGGGGAGGTTACACCCGGCAATGCTCAGGGGTTACTCATGTCTCTGCACTTAGGAATTACTCCTGGCGGTGCTCAGGGGACCATAGGGGATGCTGGGAATCAAACCCGGGTTGGCTGTGTGCAAGGCAAATGCCCTACCCTCTGTGCTACGGCTCCGTTTTTGTTTTTAACCTTGAACAATGCCCTAAAGCAAGCCCACATTAAGCATAATTCTGTATTTCACCACATTTGAAGATCAACCCATTGAAAGATTTAAGGATCAATTAAAAAATAGGAATTGTAAAACAGCTTTTTCCCATAATCAGCAGCAATGAATAGCCAGCCCCAATTAAACCAGATGGGCACTTGAAACCTGATGCCTCAAAGTGTGCAGCTAACTTGGCTAAGAGGAGAGTGTGGTTGGGGAGCATCTGCTTTCAGATTCTGTGACAGGCCCAGGGGAATTGGAAGCTCTCACTAAAATGAAACATTCAAACAGCAGTGCTACCTGATTAACAGAAATTTCTGTTTTGCCTGGATTGACTAGAAAATTTCTGTCACAAAATTCTTAGTGTTTTAAAATGACAGTCTCTGCAGATGAATACTTTTCTATCTGTTTTGAGGATCTGGCTATAGATTTTGAATTTGCACATTCTCAAAAGATGGTCTTGTGGCTGTGGAAGGTTTGTCTGAATTAACTTGGTACCTGTTTTAGGAAAAAATGTTAAGTGTCTAATTGTGTAGCGCATGCACACACACACAAACACACACAACCTGCTACTAAGTTTACTTTCTCTGGAGAACGTGTGTACAATACTACAGCTAAGGAGGATGGACCTCACAGAGTTTGTGGAAGATACAATATGAAAAAATGTCTTCGTAACAGCACGAGTGAATGCGCGCACACACACACACATACTTGCATCCATCAAAATAGAGGCAATGACATATATCTAACAAGTGAAGGAATAGCAAGGGCTGTGAGCATTAGCAAAGGCGCAAGGTGGAGGGATGTGGAGGTGTTGGAATATCTTATGCTGAAACTCAATCATGAATATCTTTCTAACATTATAATTCATGGTGATTCAACAACAACAACAAAATCATAAAAGGTATGAATGTCATCAGGAATAGATCCTTTTCTCACAGCCCCTCATGGGAACTAATTTGTTCTTGAACTTTAAAACTCCAGAAGTGTGTGTGAATAGATTTCTTCCTCTTTTAAACTACCATAGTTTGTACTTTTGTTAAGGCAGTGCTAGGAAACTGACTGCCCAGCAGAAATGACAAGGAATAAATATGAGACTTTGGGTGAGGCAGCATACCTTGGTTCAGTACAAACAAGACTTCACTATGGAAATATTTCTCTGTTCCCTTTAATAGATCCTCACAACTCTCTAAGATTAATCCCATGCTCTGGACATAATTAAGCCTGGACTATACTCATCAGATTGACCCCATGATTTTCTATAGCATTCATACTTGTATAACCACACACATTGAATACTTGAGTCTCTATACCATTTCTTCATCTGCCATGCTAAAACTTAAATTCGAGGGATATTTCATGACCCAAATTGTATAAAAATAAGGTAGAGATAGTCAGAGAACACTATAAAGAGTTTATAATTAATATTTTCTTACCATTCTTCTTGTAGAAGGTGACTTTTGCAGTACCTTTGAAGTCTTGGGGCTTGTAAACTAAATAAAAAAGTTATTCTTTTAGGATTAATATTGGGAAAAAAAGCATATTCAGTTGCTGGAAGTAAACTAATACATCTCTATATAAAGAATTTGGGAAATATTTGTCAAATTTAAAATGTAATTACACATTCACTAAACAATCCCACATCTCTAATTCTATCTTATAAATAAACTTAACTTGTCAGAAGTAACATTTACAGGTCTATTCCCCAATGCATAGATTTCAGTAGAAAAATAATGGCCGGTTACTTAGATTAACAGCCTTATCAATACATAATCCATGATCAAATCAACTATGATTTCTTAGTGAATAAAGTGAGATACAGGACAGTGCTTTATGTCTGCTAAATATTATCTAAAGTAGGAGAGAAGAATACAAAATCAAATTTTATCCTATGTGCACAATACAGCTTTAGAAAAACTCTGCTTTCCTTTGTAGATATGTGTTTGTATATATACATATATAAGATCTATATCTATGTATCTATATATCTATACCCTGTCACTTGTAACATCATTTGTTGTCAAAAAAAGAAATCATAAATGGTCAGTTTTTTATTTAATAGTCATCCCAAAATTTTTAATGCAATGCTGTAGCCTGTCAATGAACATTCTGCTTAAATAAAAGTTAAAAATAAAAATATTGGGGCTAGAAAGATAGTACAGCAAATAGGGTGCTTGCATTGCAGACCCAGATTTGGTTCCTGGTTTGAAGCCAGGTTTGGTCCCCTGAGCCCACCAGGAGTCATTCCTGAGCACAGAGCCAGGAGAAAGCCTTAAGCACCGCCAGGTGTGGTCTCAAAATTCAAAACCCCCAAACAAGCAAAAATATGTGGTCTCTCCCCTAAACAAGCAAAAATATGATTTAGTAAACTAGAACTAAAGGAAAACAATTTCTTCATAATTAAGTGCTTTCTTCCATCGTAGCTATAATATTTATATTCTTGATATCTTGATTATTTTACAACAAAAACATGGAAACAAAAGACATACGTATAACGTTGTACAGTTTACAAAATACTTGATGCATATTTGTGTAAATTGATGATAATGAAAGTCTCTGATAGTCTATTGCCAGCACCACATGATTCCCCAAGCATTCCTAGGTGCAGCCCTGAAGGCCTTGGGCACCACAACGAGGTCTCCAGCTGGGTATCTCTAGCACCACAGGGCCTAAGCAGCACTGCATCCTAGAAATCTTGGTTTATTTGCCAATCTGGTTGATTGAGAATTATTGCCTGGACCCAGCACCTCCTGAGTGCTGCTGCTTGAGAGGCTAAAAAAATAAAAAATCCTCAGAAAGAACTAGAACCTTTCTATAACCACACTGAAACTGATATGCACTTTGACCAATAAGATTTATCCTAAAAATGGAGCAAAACTCAACATATAAACCAATAGCTGTAATATAACATACTAACAGAATGAGAAAAAAAAACTTCAATGCTTATTTTAGTAGAATGAGAAAAAGCATAAAGCATTTGACATAATTTGACATCCTTCTGTGATGAAAAGAAACCACTCAACCATGAAGAACAGAATGGAGTTTTTTCAAACAGATAAGTGGAATTTATGAAAAATTTATCTATTATAATATCATACTTAATGGCGAAGCTTCAAGCTTCCCACTTAAGTTTGAAGAATAAGACAATGATCTCAGTTCTTGTCTCCTTATTTAATATTCTATTGGAAATTCTGGTTGGATCAAGTAAGCAAGGAAAGTAAAAGGCACTCAGACTGGAAAGGAAGAAGAAAATAATCTCTACTCACAAACAGCATGAACTTATATACATAAGTTACATGTTATACATACATAAAACCCTTATGTCCATATAAGTTATACAGGTTATACATATATAGGAATCTACATATAAAAACCAAACTTTAGAGCTAATAAATCAATTGATTTGAATGATAAATATGAATATACAAAAATTAGTTACATTTTCATATATGGATGATTAACCAATCAAAATTGCATGACTGAAATACAATCATGAACAACTCTGTAACTATATACCTCATGGTGATTCAATGAAACAAACAAACAAGAACCATTCAAAATTATAAGAAACCTAAAAAGAAAACACTACTTAGAAATATACAGTAAAGGAAGTGTAAGACTGATTCTACGAGAATGACAAACCACTGAGAAGCAATAAACCAAACAAACAGAAACATAAAGCCATTTTCATAGACTATAAAACTAACATTATTATTATGGTGATACTTTCTAAATGAATCTACATATTCAATGAAATTTCTATCAAAACTCTTTTTCTCCCCACAGAAATAAACCAGTTCTTACACTTTATATAGAAATAAATGAATTCTCAAATCAATTTTTTTAAAACTGAAAGTTAAAGGATTCACATCTTTAAATTCTAAAGAAACAACTTTAAAGTAATCAAACCAGTACGGCATCAGGAAATCATGCAACACACATGAAAGTCCAGAAATAAATTCATACATTTATGGCCAATTGATTTTTGACCAAAATACCAAGGTCATTATAGAAAGAGTAATCTTTCAACAAGTAATGCAAGGAGAACTGGATGAGCCATGTGCTAAAGAATGAATTACAAGTATAACTCATAATACATACGAAAGTCACTCAAAGTAATAATGAAAAGACAAAAATACAAGAAGTAAAATCACAGAATTCATAGGGAGAAAAACCACAGGATTAAATATTAGTTTGGGTTTAAAAAACATTCTTAGATATAGAAACAAAGGGTTCAAACATTTGTGCATCAAAGAACACCACAAAGAAATTGAAGAGACAGCCAGGAAATGGGGAAAAACCATTTTCTGTCATAGGTCTAAAAGGGGACTACTATTTTGAATATAGAAAGAACTCCCAGGGGCTTTGGAAAAGTCTCAGTGACTGAAAAACTGAATTGTAACTCTGGTACTGCCAGTGGTAGTGCCAGGGTGAACTGAGAGTACTGCTGTTTGGTTTCCTCTATGAGCAAGGGCTGAAAGAGACCTCAGTGGCTTAAAATGCTCCAGTGACAAGTGTAAGACTGTGAACTCAATCCCTAATGCTTCAACTTTCCACCAAGGAGATTGTGATTAGCCTTAGGGTCTGAGATCCCCAGTGAAGGGTGAGGGGTGAGGGTGGAGGTGGGGAAAATAAAGAAATAAACATTACAGCTTGATAATATGAGAACAAGACAAAAAAGAGCAAAGAATCTGAATAGACATTTCTCCAAGATACACAAACAGACAGCACATACAAAATGATGTTTGACATCATTAGGGTAATGACAAAACAACTCAAACCCATTAGGTAGTTTCAAATAGTGAATTCTAATAAGTACAAGTATTGGTAGAATATGAAGAATAAATAGTGCTGCCATGAACAAAGAAATGCAGATGACTTCTCTGCAGTGTGATTTTGAGAGAGAGCAAGAGAGTGAATAAGAAGAAAGTGCCTGCCATAGGAACTGGCTGGGGTCGGGGGAGTGGGGTGTGGTAGGGAAACTGGGGATACTGGTGCTGGAAAAACCCAATCCTGAACAACTTTGTAACTGTGTATCTCAAAAAAATTGTGATTCCGTTAAAAAAAAAAAAGAACATAGAGGATCTGAATCTTCACACTTTGTGTCTCAGCATGAAAAATAAACCTGGTTGGTAATCCCATTCCCTCTTCCATTTACTGTCATTACCTCTCGTTCTATGGTCTTCCTCCTTAGCAGCTTTTTGACACTTGGGATTTGCTTCTTTAAGAGCATAGTGGCTTCATTCATTCTTCTGACTTGCGTGATTAGGAAAGATGGAACCTAGAGAAAAAGAACAAAGCTTGGGTGAGAAGGAAAACTCTAATTGTTAATTAATAATTAATTGTGGTCACTCCATTCTACATCTCAGTATCCCAAAACCAGAACAGTGCTATTATAAACATGAGCACAAACACAAGGATTCCTGCTTAAAAGAGAAAAGATGCTTAGAATAGAGCTAATAAAATGAATAAAGCACCCTGGAAGCATCGTCTGTTTCCTCCCTAAGACTCTGGGCCCTGCTTGCTCTCAGAACCTCATTTCCTGATGCTAGTGAATTTGAGAAAAGCATTGGTTACAATTCATACAGTGCTACTCACCTTCCACAAAATTTTCTGGTACTTCAGCATTAGGCGGATAATGTGGGCTGCAGTATTTGCTAACAGTAATTCTTCATAATCGGAATGTTTGCTTCTGCTGAAGAAAAGGTTTGGTGCCATTATAGTAGAAATGTTCCATAAACTCATTCGGTTTTTTGACTCGTTGGCAATCACTTTATTGAAGAATGTCATGAGGGCCTACAAGAAACAGCAATGCACACACTGTTATGAAATCTCAAAAGGCCCTGATGGCTGCTAGCTTCATTTCTCTACCCATTCACCCATTCTACCTAATATGAAAACTGTCAGAAACACAGAATGGCTAAATGTGTCACATTTGCCCTTTAGTTGCTTAAATGTGCTGAGAACTCTGAACAGTTAATTCACTTCTCTGCTTCATAGTAGCTTTTGTAATGGAGCTTACTATATGCGGGCCTCCATAAGTAATGTTTTGCATTTTCTTATTTGCTTTTATCCAATAGAGGTTTGTCAAAGATTCAAATTAAGCACACTAAAAAGAGAGAAGCTTGCAGCTCAAATAAACATAAAATGCAGTTTCTTTGTAAAGAAGAAAGCAGTCATTCTAAAAATACCCTTAAAGCATTACTGCTGAAAAAGAAAAACCCACTAAAAAACAAAAGAAAAAGAAAAAAAAATGGGTATCTCATTCTTCAGTTAAAATGTAAACTCAATTGAAAATTTAAAAAAAAAAGATATTACTTTTAAGTGTTATTTTTCAATCACTTGAATTTTGAAATTCTTAGATCAAAGGAAAATGCTTACATGAAGAATTTAAGAAATGAAAAAAAGAAAAGGCTAAATTAAAGTTTGGCAGAGAAAACAAACTATAGTTTATCAGAATGTATTGAAATTTACGGAGGAATAAACTTTTGAAAGATGTTCTTTGGATTCCAAAATTTAAATTCTACTCTAATATTTGTGATAATAGACCCCACATAACCATAATACTTGTTAACATTTATTTGAGAATTGATTATTCTTAGTTCATTTTGTCATTATTCCAAAACCTGCAAAAGTGGTACTTTCATTAATGTTGCTCTAAAGGAGGAGAAACTAAAGGTGAGAAGGACTGAGTAGCTTTGCCCAGCATTAATTTATTAAGTGGCAACACCAAAATCTGAATCAAAGAAACCTGATTACTGAGTCAGAGTTCTAAATCTTTTTCTTAGCTTTAGTTTTGGCTCCAGGCACACTTTAGATTGGGGGAGAAGAGAGAGAGAGAGAGAGAGAGAGAGAGAGAGAGAGAGAGAGAGAGAGAGAGAGAGAGAGAGAAAATATAATAACTTTTGAGGATCTTCTATCAGAAATGTGATGAATTGAGGGGGTGAGAGACAGAGAGAGAGAGAGAGAGAGAGAGAGAGAGAGAGAGAGAGAGAGAGAGAGAAACAGACAGACAGAGATAGAGATAGAGAAAGAGACAGAGAAGAAGAAGAGAAGCAGAGTGCCTGCCACAGAGACAGGCTGGGGGGATGGTGGGAGGGAACCTGGGGACACTGATACTGGGAAATGTACAAATGGAGGGATGGGTTCTGGAATACTGTATGACTGAAACCTAATCATAAACAGCTTTGTACGGGTCTACCAAAATAAATAAATACGCAGGAAAAATAAGGTGTTGAATTATTTGATACTCAGACACATGGAAGGTAGATGATATTTTGACCTACATACCAGTAGCAGATACATTACTGAAAGAACATTACTCAGAAATAGCCAAACTTCCCAGTTTTTTAAAAACCACTAAATTTCATTAGAAACAGATATTCTTGTGTCATAGCTAATTCCATTTTTGGGTAGAGGACAAAGCATAAGTGACAATGATGTTTTCATTAAGAAGAAAAGGTCCTTAGTACTGAAACATGCAGTAAGACATGTTTTTAAGAACCATTTTTTGTTTTCAGCATTAGGTTTACTGGCTGCAAAAATAAAGGATTCTTCCCTGCTCAATCTTACTTCAATTCCATTTCAAAGATTCCAAACATCAGTTGTACATTAGCAAATACAGACTAATTATCAAAATGAGAAGAGAGCTGGGAATGGAGCATGGCACTGAGAACTTGCCTTGCATATGTGAAGCTCTGGGTTCGATTTCCCACAACACAAACACACACACACACACACACACACACACACAGCATGAGAAAATGACTTTTACCACATACAGTAAAAAAGTGAATCTGAAATTAAGGGAAGGGTATTTATAATGTAGAACTCTGGAATGACTATTTTGTTATATCTTAATGAAGAAATCACCTTGCGGAGGTGGGCTGGGATGGGGTGTGAACATGAGGTGGTATTCAGGGATCAGCAGTTCTAGGACTGCACCCAGAGATCCCACAAAAAAAGTATGTGTGCTAACTTTCTTAGTCACCTCCCTGGCCCCCCAAATCACTTTTTTAAGCTTAAGCTTCTTCATCCATAAAGTAACAAAATCCTACTAGGTAAACTCTGAAATTCTGAGATTCTAGGCTTCATGTAGTTGACTTATCCTAGGGACAGGGGATGTGGCTTGGTGGTAGGCAGTTGGCCTTGAATGTGTGAAGCCCTAGGTTCAATCCCTGGCAAATAATAAGAAATAAATAAACTGGCGTAGCCTCATAAATTATATGGCATAATAAGACAAGTGCATTTCAGAAATTTCCTTGAAATTAATTATTTCAAATTTAAACAAGAACATTTTAACTAGCAGCTGAGGGCCAACAATTCGAGAATTTTATATTTTACAACTTACATAATAATATATTTCTGACACACCTTTCAAATCTTTGTAATTCTTCTCCATCAGCTAACTCTAGTTTAGTGCCAGGCACATAGTAGCCCCTCAAAACCCCTCTCTATAGATTGAATGAACAGAAATAAACTGTTAGAAGAATATTGTAGATGGGACACTTCTTTCTCGTCTGCTTAGAACAACAGAAGGGAAGAGATTTGCTGCCCCCTTAGCTGGCTTAAGGACTTGTCTCTGCTTTTATTTTTCCAAGTGATCCCTCTTCTATGAAAGTAAGAGTCGATGCCCAACGGTGCAGGGGGGCAGCAACATACCTGGGCTGTGTCCCTGTTGGCATCAGGCAGTGCCATGACCATGAGGTGCAAGGCTTGGAACTGTACCTTGATGTGGGGCCCTCCTAAGAAGAGAACAGAGAAATTACCACTGATTTTGAGAAACAGTGATGCACTCTGACAGCATTTCTTATGAACATCTGGTGCCACAGAAAGGCTCCTGACAGCATTTGGTGGTTTAGGCCCAACAATGTAAATTTATGCACTTGGACAAGTGCCTCATTCTATCAAGTCCTCTCTCACACCTCCAAGATATCATTGTAGAGGCAAGCAGCCAAGAAGACCCTCAAAATAATCCTGAATTCATATTTACAGTATTTTCACAGGTCCTGATTCACTTCTACATTCTAAATAGAAGGTCTGAATTTCAATTAAAAAGAAGATAAATCTCTCCACATAAGGAGAAGAGCAAAATATAATTGAATGGAGTACAGATTCTTGAACAAGCTTCAATCCTTCATTTCCCACTTAAGTTAGTGGGCAGATCTTTTACTCCCCTGCCTTCTATTTTATCTATAAAATGAAAACAGTTTATTTTTACCTATGCTTACCAAAGATTTTACCTATCTTAGTAGGGGAGGGGGACTATGAAGACTCTGAGTAAGCAGAGTATTTACATGGTATCTGTAAATACTGTACAGAGTTACCCCTCTATGTGCTTGCATCTGATATGATTGATCTCATTTAATCTGAGACTTTAGATATTTAGGGAAGGTATACCTGCAGTTGAAAATTCCTGAGTATTTTATTTCTTGTTAATGACAGAAGATGGCAACAGAGTATTGATGTCTGTGTTCTCAGTTCTGGCTCTTTACCCATTTTAGGGAAAGAATATTGGGGATTCCATCCATAGCAGGATAATCCACAACCAGCATTGTTAAAAATGCCCAGTCTACCAGGGCATCTAGTCTTTGCTTTGTCTCTCTTTATTCTCCTCATAATGGACCTTTACTGGGGAGTCCCTGAAGAGACGTATTATATTCTAGATTTCTAGGGCATTCTTAAATCAAAGACATATCTATTTATACTCAATAGATAAAAGGCAGTCTGCTGCCTGTAAAGTTAATCAGTTTTACAGTAGTGGAATTCCTCTTGTGATCTGTTACTAGGTTTATAGCAGGCTGTTTGCACCTGACTTAGTAGATGACTGATGTATAGAGTTGGGTATTGAAGAAAGAGGTAGGAGGATTATTTAGAGCATCATTTTATTCTGCCACAGCAAATCCCCATGTGCTTTAGAGATGGGTGTCAAATTAGTAAACAAAAATGACAAAGGTTCAGGTGTTTTCAAAAATAGCAAATGCACACTGATGTGAATTAACCTGAATAACATAAACTATCAGGAGCACATCTGAGAACAAGAGTACTCAGGGAGAGATAGGCTTTTATGAAAAGGTACAAACTGCATGTTAAACGCTATCTCTGCTCTTCCAATGCTATTAAAAAATCAGAGGATAACAGATGCAATGTAGGTTCTATATTTCCATAAACTTCACAGAAACTGTGAATATCTCTTTCAGGTTAAAAATCCAAATAGGCAAAAGATTCATTTCATTTGACTCAAGAAATCTGTATCTACATTGTTTTATGGTGAACAGTTCCATAATTAATTAATTCATTTATTATATCTCAGTTGAGTATTCCTTTTAGTGAGGTGATGATTTTCCTAGAAAGTTTTTGATTTTTATTTCATTGGCATTTTTTGGACTAAAGTTGAAAAGAGAAAAAGAGAAAATAGTTACACTAGTATGAAACCACCTTCTGACTTTTTTTAAACGGAGCTGGAGCGATAGCACAGCGGTAGGGCGTTTGCCTTGCATGCAGCCAACATGGCCAACCCGAGTTTGATTCTTCCGCCCCTCTCGGAGAGCCCGGCAAGCTACCGAGAGTCACGGCAGAGCCTGGCAAGCTCCCCGTGTCATATTCGATATGCTAAACACAGTAACAACAAAAGTCTCCAATGGAGACGCTACTGGGCCCGCTTGAGCAAATGGGAGGGCCTTTACTTTACTTTACTTTACTAGTATGAAACATGACAGTCTCTGAATTCCATTTCAGAACAGAAAGAAGGGCAGTTTAAACACATGCAGCACATGCCCACAATTCTCTTCCTTAGAACAAATGCTCTGAGGAAGTAACAGGGGCACTTTCTCCGCTGGAAGCAACCCTGAACCTCAGAGTTCCTGCCGGGCTGGCAGCTTACAGATCAATCACTGCAGTACTGTAGCATTTCTTCCAATGTCATACAGAGAAACCTGAACTTATCTATCAGCCTTTTCAGGATTATTTTCTAGAGTCTTTTCTTCAATGAGGGCACTGGCTGCAGTCAGACGAATAACAAGGATATAAAGAAAACTAAACTATATGAATGCCTTTCTTAAATATAATTTTCTAGAAAGGCCTGACATTGGAGTTTTGTCTCCTGGTATAATTCCACTATACTAAGGAAACCAGATCAAAAAAGGTAATAATCCTCTGTGACAGCAGGGGAAAGAGGTGAATGTTTTAATATATCAACTTGAACGCTTCTCTAGGAGAACATGCTTTACAGAAAATTTTGTGCTTTCTGGACTAACAAATGACGGGGGAGAGTACAGCTTCTGGTATTGCTAAGTTAAAATCCCTGATTTATGTCCTAAAGAGAATAACAGACTCTGGAAAAAGTTAAAACAATGAGTCTAGTGAGCAGCAGAGTCTGATGAGCGACAGACAGATGCAAGAGAGGCCTGGATGCTGGAAGAAGGGAATGGCACAGGAAGAGTATCCAGTTTTCTGGTTCTGCATTGATGCTAGACTATATTCTGGATGGCAGGAGATGTCTAAAAATTTTTTTCTAGAAAGAAAAACCTAATCCTGGCTAGAATGACTGGAGAGCAGGACTCAGGATGGCCATGGCTATCGAGGCTAAGAAGAGTCCCAGAAAAGGAAGACTTGAATCTAGTTTTAGAATCCAATGCAAATTCTGGCTAATCCATGAATCACACATATGAGAGTAGTGCAGGTAAGAATTTAATTACTGAAATGAGAGCCTGATGATATCCAAAAAGTAACTGGCAATTTGTGTTATATTTATTAAGTAAAGGTAAAGGTAAAGGCCCTCCCGTTGTTCGTCGATTTTCTCGAGCAGGCCCAGTAACGTCTCCATTGGAGACTTTGTTGTTACTGTGTTTGGCATATCGAATACGTCACGGGGAGCTTGCCAGGCTCTGCCGTGCGGGCGAGATACTCTCGGTAGCTTGCCGGGCTCTCCGAGAGGGGTGGAGGAATCGAACTTGGGTCAGCCATGTTGGCGGCATGTAAGGCAAATGCCCTACCTCTGTGCTAAGTATAATATATAATAATAATAATTTATAATAATAATATTAACAATTATATTTTGTAAAAGCGAGCCAACAAAATAAAATGAAAACCTAAGTTTTGAAGAGATCTTACAAAATTCCAGAAGAAAAAGTCTCCAAAATTTAAATACTCACAAAAATCAGATTACAGTTTAGATTTTCAGATAAAAAGAAAATCCACAGAGACTGACTGTGATATCATGGATGTTGGAATTAGCAGGCAGTGGTTCTTGGTTCAATGGCAGCATTCCCCATAGGCAATAAGAGACAGCCTAGGTGGGAAGTAGGCTGTACCATTAAGGTTTGTGTAATTACACTGTAGGATGCTTGCACAAAGACAAAGTTGACTAACAAGGCCATTTCTCAAAAATCTTTTGATTAAGGAAGATGATTATACATGTTGTGATGCAAATAAAAATATGCTCATCATGAAAAGTTGTCATAGCAAATAGAAAATCCCTAATAAGCACCAAATGGAAATTCAAAACTGAAAAAAAGCTAGTATCTGAAATCTAAAAGAAAGAAGGAAGAAAACTAGCTCTTCTCTCTTATTTTGCAAGTTTTGTTTTTTTTAAAGAAGCGAAAAAATCTTAAGAAAAGAGATTCTCATAACGTATGCCATATACATTAGAATGCAGAAAACAAGCGCCTATTTTATCAAATGCTATACTCTGAAGATACAAAAGGTTATTTGATAAATTTGGTTTGCTTAAAAATGTTAAGTGTTTGGTGTTTTCTTTTTTTGTTTGTTTTATTTTGTTTTAGGCAACACTCGGCAATGCTTAGGAGTTATTCTTGGCTCTCCACTCAGAAATAACTCATGTTGGTGCTTGGGGCACTTGGCAGCGTGCAACCCTCTCTGCTATATTATCTCTCTTGACCCATAAAAATGTTAAATATTTTTAACATTTACTAATTTATAGGTCAAAGCCTGTTTTAAAACAATAGGCACTACTAATTTCTTTGATTGTGGTTTTAAAGTGTTCATAGTTCTGGTCGACCTGTTTAGAAAGTCATAAACTGAAAGATGCAGTTATCACTTACAAAGCTCACAGAATTTTCTTAAACTTTGAGCCTCTACTAACATTTTCAGATTAAGAGTTTTCCTATTAAAGCTTGGATTGTGGCTCTCCCTCTTGCAAGGCAACCATTACTTGGAGCTGAGATGCCGCCGCCTTACTTGGGATTCTGCCTCTCAATTTGATCATAGTCCTTCCTGCCCACGTAATGGTCACTATTTAATGGCTTGTAAACAGCTAGATTTGCAACCCTTGAATTCCTCAGGTGAACAGTCAAAGGCCCCACTGTGTAACTATTCTCAACTGTGTAACTATTCTCAATTTTTAAATTTCTCTCTTGTCACATACTCCACAATATTCAATCCTTTAGGCTGAAACCATGCCAAATCATTCTCTCATTGCCAAATGCAATATACATTCCAGTTTCCATGCCTTGGGTAATTCACTTAAGGTTTAATATTTATGGCTTCATACTTTTCAAAAACACAGTGAGATATATTGTAATTCTGAGAAACAAAATATCTTCTATATAGTATTCATTTTATGCTACATCATTGGACTTAGATTTAAGGAAGGGAGAGGTCTTATATTTTGTCAAAGACTATTACAAACGCACTATTATTTTGCATGACTTCATTCAATATCTGCAACAACACTGAAAACTAATGATGATCTGTAATTTGTTGCTGTCAACTCAGCAATGAATGGTGATTGCATGACCAACATATGGGTGTTTAGGAATTCAAATCTCAAGAGCTTACATTTTCTGAAACTTCCTTTGTCTTTAAAAGACTATAAAACCTTCTAAATCCTATCTTATAGATGTGGATATATATAGATATATTAGAAGACAATTTGCTAGCAAACTCAGTATTTCACCAGTCATTGCCAGAAAATAGCAAATCCATGCATTGACGACACATTTGAATATGTATTTTTTCTGTTGCACTTGTCTATTGCCTATATATATTTTACTGACTATTAATATTTTATTATATATATGAGTATATACACAGCTTAGTCATACTTTTTTCACCTACTTTCCATTAGTGTGATGAAAGCAGGTATATATTCCACAGGAAAGAGAGAAGTGGGTAGTTCTCTGAAAAATGCTTTCAACATTACTGCAGCTTCTCTATGGCACATTTTGTCCCACTTAAATTTGTCGGCATTAAACTTGGTATCCAGTTCTTCACGGTATTGCTGAAATTCAGGAAAACAAAAAATATACAATGAGCATTTTCGTTTGACTACTTGGCCCCATAGAAAATTGTTACTACATAAACCAAAAAAAAAAAAAACCAATTATCTATTTAATTTAACCTTTTTCTCAATGTGATTATGAATAGAAATAAATATGAATTCTGAAAAAATTTCTAGGGACTTGGGGATGTGTCTCAATGGCAGAACACCTGTCCTGCATGTGAAAGGCCATGAGTTAAAGCCTCGATATTCCTCATGCTGAGATGACCCTTAGTTCCCTGCACTGCTCCTGTGACTCCTGGGATTGTGAGGGTTCATCCCCTGCACACTGAAACCCGGAGTGTGAGCAGCACAACAAAGTGTATAATTCCTGGCACCACAACAAGCAAGTGACCCTGGATATCAGAGCAGCAACACCAGCAACGAAGGAAAGGGAATCAAAAAGTTTCCATAATCTTTTTTAGAGTAATATCAAACTTGAAATTATATGTTAATTCTGAAAAAATACAAAAGGTCTCAAGGAACAGTTTTATTTATATGATTTTGGCAGAATCCATCTATTCTCATCTGATGAATGCACTGGAAGATTCTGAGAAAGCCTTCATTTCCATTTCTTTTCCTAATCCCTTTCTCCTGCTATCCTGTCTCTACTTCTCAGTTGGATCAAGAGTAAGTGCCTCTCGATTAATTCCCAGACAGAATGAGAAGTAGCCTAATAAAGGAACTTTGTCATCATTGTTCCAATGCAGAGCAATGCATGACACTTCCCTGGAGCAGTTAGGGTAATGTTTAATGCCAAGATAAACACATGTTGTCCTTATGCCTTCAAGTTAGCCCAATCCACATAAGGTTAGGAAGAGTAAGTTAAAAAAATAGGGGCCGGAATGATAGTACAGCAAGTAGGGCATGTGTACACGGTCAACCTGGGTTTGATCCCCTGCACCCCATATGGTCTCCTAAGACTGCCAGGAGTGAACCCTGAGTACAGAGCCAGGAGGAAGCCCTGAGCACTGCTGGGTATGGCCCAGAAAACACAACAACAAAAAATTACCAAGCTTTTCCTAAGTTTAATTTGGTTTGAACACTTTATATTAAAATTCATTTATCAATGCCACCTATTTTTCATATTTATTTATTTATTTATTTATTTTTGCTTTTTGGGTTATACCTGCCGATACACAGGGGTTACTCCTGGCTCTGCACTCAGGAATTACCTCTGGCGGTGCTCAAGGGACCATATGGGATGCTGGGAATCGAGCCTGGGTCGGCTATGTGCAAGGCAAACGCCCTACCAGCTGTGCTATTGCTCCAGCCCCTCATATTTCTTTTAAAAGTCAAATGTACTTTCTATTGTTACCTTGAACTTTAGGTCACCTGTATTTCAAGCAGTTATTCTGGCCTTCCCATTATACTATCCTACTCTACCTTCAATCAAGACAGTTATAGTCAATTCTTTACCTGTCACCAACTAACTTCTCCTAAAAAAGACATGAGGAAGAAGACTCTGAAAACCTCACTTTCTTGAAATCTGTTTTATTTTCATAAGAATGCCCATCCTTACAAAGCCTTGAACACACACACCCAGCAGCAGCCTACTCATCTGACATTTCTCTCCCCAAGAGCAGCTCATTAAGTAGATATAATGTATATGATCTCATGCTTCCTACACCTTGCAAAGCAAGGGCAGCCTGGCCAGACACATTCTTACAGAGACAGGTATGATAGTGATGAAGTCAAAAGACTTTTGTCTTTGCCCTAATACCCTCTCAATTTCTATTAAGAATCATACAGCTTCTCATACAGCTTTCTCTCTGATGAAAACTACGCTTTATGAAGCATAGGAGCACACATATGAAGTCCATAGAATAATAGACATAGAGCTTGTAATGGCATCAAGGAAGAGGAGGCTGCATGAAACAAGTGTCTGTTTAGTCTGTTGAGCCACTGGATGGGACATTTTATTAACTCATAAAGCTAATTCAGGGTGATAAATGCTATGAAAAAGGTCAAGGGCCAGGGAGATAAGGGAAGCAGGGCTCTTGCCTTGCATGCAACTGTACTGCTTCAATCCCTGTCCCATCATATGGTCCCTCAAGCACAGTTAGGGATCATTCCTGAGCACAGAGCTGAAACAGCCCTTAACACTTTCAGGTATGGCCTAATACCTTCCCCCAAAAGAAAGAAGGTAAATAGAAGGGTCCTAGACATGAGAAACTGCTCCAGCAGCAATTACATTGTGACAGTAGTAGGTCTGGGTAACTCAAGTTAGTCCGGTGTTACTGGAACATCACGGACAAGGGCAAGAGAGATGAGAGTGTGCAGCAGACCAGAGCTGATCCTGTGGTGACTAGACTTCATTCTGCAGGCGACATGGAAGCTTTATAAGCATGAGATTGACATGCTCACATTTATCTTCCTGATAGCCAGAGGAAAAATGATTTGGAGGGGGATGGATCCCGAAGTGAGTTTGAGGAGAGGCTAGTAGCATGTAAACCAGTTCTTCGACACTGGCACTATTTTCTGGTGATGCACAGTCAAGGATTAACTTGATAAGTGCTTCGTGTGTGTGTTTGTGTGTGTGTGTGTGTGTTTGTGTATGTATAGGATGGCAAGTTAAACAAGTAAAATGAAAAAGAGGGGAGATACTTAGGACATGCCTAGGAGGGAAAGTGCTCTAGAGTCACTGATGGATTGAACATGGTCTTCAGTGGAAGAAATAACAGCCCAAGATGCCCTTGATTTCTAGCTGGACTAATGGGCAGATGGAGGTGTTACTAATAGTAAACACAGGAGAAGGAGAAAATGGTTATTATTTGTTGTCTGCTAAACTGCCCTAAAAGCAGAAGAAAAATTGTTTTTGAGTAGACTGAAAGCTCCAGTGAAAGCAGAATTATTAAAATCCATCTGCCATTGCTGTCAGAAAATGTTTCTCAAGCGTTGAAGTGACCTCCATCCTAATCTGCAGGGGGCGCCCCCTTTCACATAAGAGGTAACAAGAGAGCACCAAGGGCAGGCACTGGAACCAGAGACTCAGGTTTTCATCCCAGTTCTACCTGTGACTGGTTCCATGGCCCAGGCCTCAAGTTCTCACTAAGTCAGTAACATGGACATCAAAATCACCTTACAGAAATGGAATCAGAGAGTGTAAAATAACTGAGGGACAGAGGCTGCCCTGCAGTGTACACTTTTATTCTAATGTCAGCTGCTCATTCCATCCCCCTCCTTCTGGTCTAATATGGAAAATACACAAGCATATGGTAAGGATATTTGTAGGTAATATCACTTCATGCTGCCTGTATACTTCATGCAAAACAAAAATGAGAGCAAAACAAAAACCATCTTCTCTTGGTTGTGCCAGAACAGCCCGTGGAAGCTGACAGCAGAGCTAAACATGCAGACCAGAGTCTTCACTCTGAATTTACCTTGCTAAAAGCAGGAAGTCTTTGGAGATGAAAAAAGTTATGCTTTCAGTTCAGGGTTAATGAGAATACGGAGCAAGGGTCAAAAGCCATGTTGCTAAATCTCCTCTGAGCAAATGTCTGACCTACTTCCATTTTTGAGCTACTTTTTAAAAAATGCAAAAGACCTACCTTCAGCTGCAAAGTCTAGCTCAGGAGAGGAAGCTAACAGACCAGGTAATGCAATTATATAAAATTGAGAGCAGCTTCCGAATGACTGAAACTAGTAAAGGAAAAAAAAAAATAACTCCTATGTCAAGTGTCTGCCTTCTGCCATGAAATATACTCCTCAGTGTTGGGCTCAGATTTCTCTCATTTTTGGAAAAGAAAATCAGTGGAAACACCAGAGCATCAAATTAGTTCCAAATGAGCAGAGGCCTCCAATCCAGGATGGGGCGCTGCTGTTGTGTGCCCAATTTGGCCAAAATCAGATGCTCCCTGGGGCTGTCTCCTCCTTAGTCTTATCAAGCTCTTAAAGCTTGCCTGCAGTTGGATTAAGTGTTAGCCACTTGGCACAATTTGAGGATAATTATAACAAAGATTTTTTTAACTCTGTGTGTGTGTGCGTATCTGTGTGTGTATGTGTACATGTTGCGTGAAGCACTGGTCTATTGGATGAAAAGACATGAAAAAAAAAGTAGTTTAAAGTCCGAACAAAGGAAAGAAATAAAGATCCCTTTACTATATCAAGTTACATGCCCTTCCTGGCTGTTCTATGTTCTCATGTTTGGTCACTGATCCAGATTTCTCTCACACTGGCTGTCTTGGAGCTCAAACCATAAAAACATCTGGATTACATTTTTTTTAAACTAACAACAGATGGAATAAATAGGCTGAACAACACAAAACCAGTTAGGAGAGAAAAGAGACATACCTAAGTGTGGCGTAGGAATGCATATGCCCTGAAGTAAACTTGAGACAAATTATTAGCCTTTCGGAGCTATTTTCCAAGGGAAAGTGAGTTCTGCTATGATGTTAAATGTCATCCACACACGAGAAATGGAGTGTGTTGTTTTGATAATTTAAAAAACAGAACTTGAAATTACATACACATGAGTCAGTGAGAATAACTGCAAACACAAATTTCCAATTATAGAGAGAGGTTTAGGGGATAGAGTCAACTTCTGTTTAGATATTCTGCTTATTTTACTTCATTTGGATTCGCTGACCATACGTAACTAAAATTTAACCAAGAGAGTGATACCTTCCACTTTCAGACCCATAATTCACTTGCTCACCATACACACAAGAACTTGGGACCAAAAGCTAAATTGTTTTAGAAACAGAAACACTAAGGTGTTCTAAGGAATGTTCCTGTCTTCCAAAGGAACTTGTACCAACACAGAAAATGCTCATTTAATGTTCCCCACAGGTTCCTGGAAACTTGGACTTTAAGCAAACACTAAGGAAAGCAGATTCTTAATAGGTGTTTCTCCTTTAATCACTGTTCCATTTTAACATGGGTTAGAACACAACAATCCTGGTCCCTGTTGAATGAAAGGACACTGCCGGAGGACTCAGTATATTTAGCAACCTCCATTCCTGGTTAAATAAAAATGATTTCAGCTGCCCTGGTCTCTTCTGTCACTGGCCAAGTGTGGCAGAGAGCTCCTTTCAGAAGAGAACTTGCCAGGGATGTGGCTGAAGGGGCAGAGCACAAGCCGGGTAAGGGAAGGGGAGAGAAGAGAAAGGGGGAGAAGGGGAAGGGGAGGGAAGGAAAGGGAAGAGATGGGAAGCAGAAGGAAAAGGAGGAGAGGGAGGGAGGGGGGAGGGAGGAAGGGATGGAAGAAAGGGTGGGAGGGGGGAGGAAGAGAAGTAGGAGAGGGAGGGAGGGAGGGAGGAGAGGGAGGGAAAGAGAAAGAACCCATGTTTCTCCTGTAGGCAACCCAGGTAGCTAACTCCTGGGTTATCAGCACCTTGGACCTATCTCAGCCTCACCAGTGTTACTTCTAGTCTTGGTTCTTCACAGGTTATCCCAGCTGAGTGAATGCCCTGTGGGGCTGGCTGGGGCTCCCTGCTGTGGAGTTCTGGGGAATGATGGATACACGCAACTGCTCTGAGGCACAGTCACAGGGTCGGATCTGCTTCTCCTTTACCATTCAGAAGTATTCTCAGCCCCCCCGCCCCAAACCCTCTTCTATTTCTCCTCTATTCCTAACCCTGCCCAGAATCTGCTTTCTGAACGTTCCAATAGATGGAGCCTATTTATTCTGTTCCCATTTGGAAAAACATCTTGTCACACTTCTATATAAAAAACTCAGAGACTTCTGACACAAATAGAATTTCCCAAAACATGGGCCAAAATGAATTAATGAGGAGACACTTTTTTGTCTTTACATATTTCCTCCGTCTAGGGGTTGAGGAGGTTGGCTTTTGGGTTTTGGGCCACACATAGTAGTACTTGGGGGTTACTCCCTTTCTGCTCTGTTCCCGTGGGTTGCTCTAGTGTTTGGGGGACCATGTGGTGCCAGGAACCATGTCCAGGTTTCCTGCATGTAAAGCAGGTACTCAGCCATGAGCCCTTGCTCTAGTTCTACACATTCCCTCTTAGTCATTGTAAATACAATCAAGTTTCTTTCCCCCAGCCTGCGGATTCATCATTAAAACTACTCAGGTTTCTGTGAGAACAGGGAAGAACTATGTATTGTTTACGTCCATGGATAGAAAAAACACGAAAATATGTGAGAAGCTTTTCTTTTCTTAAATATTTACCTTAATTATACTTTTGGTTACCATATGGAAGCAAGAAAGCCCAGAAAAGGATTCATAGTGCAAACATGGTTTTCCACGTAGAAACTAACATTTCCTTAAATGGCAGTGGGTTTTGGAACTGCTGAGTGAGTATTCTCGTGGCTATGATCATCCCACAAATTCTTGAAAGGGCTTTCATTAAATGGAGAACCAAAGAATGCCTCACAGCTTAATCAAGAATATAAGGGCTCATCAAATGGTGGTCTAATGAATTTCATCATTGACAGAATCATAAACTAAGACGTTTCAGCAAAGTGACGGGACATTTCAGCATTCACAAATTAAAGATAAGAAGTGGTTTTTGACCACGTGTTTTTTTGCTTTGCTCTTTGGGTCACACTTGGCGGTGCTCAGGTCTTACTTCTGGCTCTGTACTCAGGAATCACTCCTGGTGGTGCTCTGGGGACCATATGAAATGCTGGGAATTGAACCCACGTTGGCCACTTGCAAGGCAATTGCCCTACCCACTGTGCTATCACTCCAGCCCCATTGACCTTGTTTTACTGTCACTGTCACTGTCCTCCCGTTGTTCATCGATTTGCTAAAGCAGGCCCAGTAACATTACGAGGCCTGTCGTTACTGTCTTTGACATAACGAATACATCACGGCTAGCTTGCTGGGATCTCAGAGAGGGAAGGAGGAATCAAACTAGGGTTGGCCTGGTTGGCTGGCCGCTTGCAAAGCCCTACCTGCTGTGCGATCACTCCAGCCCCATTGACCTTGTTTTACTGTAGGTTTTTTTTTTTTAATCACTGCTGTTCTAATTTAAAGGAACACACTTCTCAGAACCATAGCCCACCACATAATCATAGCTATCATGGAATACTTGTGTCTATCAACCACAGTAAAAAGGAAGGGAATGATGCATGTATAAACTGGCTCTAGCTGCATTTTCTACTCAGGAAGAAAGAAAGTATTCAGTACCTTCACTTTGGCAGTACATCCTGAGAGCCGAAAAATTCCTTCAGATTCGAGACCTGATTCTTCAACCTTCTCAAAAAACTAGAAAGCAAGGAAGCAAGGACACATGACAAAAATAAATACCTTCACGGAATCCCAAATCTCTGAAATAATAACAAAAATAGCTACAATAATAATAACAAATGAAAAACGCAATTTGATTGTGTATGTTTACTATGTATCACATCCCATTCACAAGACTTTTAACTATATTAGCTCAATAATCACACAAGTTTGATATTATTATCCCCATGGTGAGGCTTAGGTAGCGAAGTATGAAAAAGATGATTAGTCTAAGTTCACAAATGTGAGGCCATATCCTCTAGCTTTCCCTCTAGAAAGAATATTTGGAACGATGAGAGTTCTTATATGTATGGAGAAGTTTTTTGTTTTTGTCTTGTTTTGTTTTGGTAAAGCAAGAAAAACTTAAATGTATATAAGAAAAGACTGCCAGAGGAGAGGAAGAGGAATATTCTAGTTTCCCCCAGTGGGGCAACAGCAATAGCTAACATCAGTTAAGTTGCTATTTCACTATGAAACTAGATTTAATCTGACATGTAGGGAACCATAGAGGATGCTGGAATTGAAACCGAGTCGGCTGTGTGCAAGGCGAATGGCCTACTTGCTGAACTATCACTGGCTTCAAATTTTTTCAGTCTTAAGGTTTTTACGTATTTTCTTCAAATTCTGTCATTCATAGAGAGGAAAAAGGTTATACTTCTAGTCTAGCCTGACAAAAGCAAATCTGAGAGTCATCCTGGACTTGGCCTTAGGTGTACACTGTGAACCTTTTCATATTTGCTTCTTTGCTGACTGTGAACAGCTACCTCTTGGCTAAGTGATCACATCCTAAAGTGATCACATGCTGGTATGCCTCCATTGTCTAGTTGGTTAAAGAGAAAGGAACACCGCTTCCTTGGGATGCTTGGTGCCAAGATGTGACAGGGTATGAAGAGCACAGGCAGAGCAGGAAAAGGGCTCTCCAGCAACCCTATGCATACTGCCATGTGGCCAGTCTCTTTGGGATCTCCCATTGCCACACTCCCAGTGATAGCTACTTAATCATCCAATTTGAGCCATAACACATATAAGGCATTCGTACCATATGTAGGAAAAAAGCATGGAGTAAAGAAACACAGAATCTTTACTGCGAGGATACGAAACACCATGTTTCCTCAGTCCATGTTTCCTGTATTTTTCAAAAAGCTCAATTTAAAATTCAATAGAATTTGTGTTGAAGGGTTGGAATTTTAACTGTGCCACTGATGTTCCTGCTGAATAAATACATTCTTAAATAAATCAGTACAAATTTAGATTAGTGTTACACCTAAACCAGCTACTTGGCAATGATAGCTGTGGAGACTCTAGATTCTGAGAGTTCAGACAGCAATGTTTAAGAAAAATTTCTTCCACAAAAGCTCTTTTTTGTAAATGTATTCTTCCTTCCCAGCAATACTTAAAACCACCAGAACAAGGTGATTTTTAGACTTTATTAAGCTTTGTTTTTGAAAATTTGTTTTAAAGCTTACAAATGTTTATTAAGACACCAACACTGTGATACATCTTGGTAAATACTTGTGGGACCAGTAAAACAAATGCTGATCACCAATAGTCATCTTTCATGCAGACAATCAAATACAAATACAAACATTTACATGCAACTGATGTACATTAGTTGCATGCACATGTTAAAACATTTTAAAAATATTGGGGAAAATATCTAAACATAGGAAGCCTCTGAAATAGGGCACTGTAGGAATCTAATGGCTGCTTTGAGGTCAAATAATGAAACAGCCTCCACAAGTTCAATGAGGAACATAATAGGATACCAACAACTAAGGACAGTAGAGACAAGGGCCAGGAGGATCGCACCATGGCTTGGAAGTTGGCCTCATGTGCTGGGAAAAAAGGCAGCTGGGATAGAGAAGGGACCAGTATGTAAAGGACAGTTGGAGGGATCGCTCGGGATGGGAGATGTGTGCTGAAAGTAGACTATGAACCAAACATGATGGCCTCTTTAGTACCTGTATTGCAAATCATAACATCCAAAAGGTGAAAGAAAGAGGGAATGTGCCTGCCACAGAGGCAGGTGGAGGGAAAGGGTGGGGGTGGTGGGAGGGATACTGGAAACATTGGTGGTAGAGAATGGGCACTGGTAGAGTGATGGGTGCTTGATCATTGTATGACTGAAATGTAATCATGAAAGTCTGGAAGTTTGTAACTGTATCTCACGGTGATTACATTAAAAAAAAAAACAATTACAAATACTGAATTGCACACATAGGGCTCTAGTAGTGCCTGTTCGTTGCCAGTCTACTCACTTTCTGTAATACCAGGGGGACTTTCACTCCGGGGTCTTTCTTTCGGTCATTGTCCAATAGGACGGTGAGTGGAACCCCGAAGATGCCATTGTCTTCATTGTAAAATAGTTAAGGGAGGAAGGAAAAATAAAAAAGTTAGAAGAGGCCGATCTCATTCTAATGTATCAAAGTATTAAGATCCACAGAAATTTCCCTTCTTAATTACCTCGTCCTTTGATTTTTTCTGTTTTATTTCTTTTCAGTTGGATCCCAAAGGCATCAAAAAATGCTGTCAGTTCAATCAGAGAGAGATGGCGAATTTTCTTCATGTCCTCAGTGGACAGGTCTCCTGCTTCAGTTAGGCCAAATCTGGTTTTCTGAACAATAAATTTCTGAAATACATATTGAAGACATTAATTTTTCATGGCTTGGGGAAATTATTTTATTTTCACTCAAATGCCAGCTGGGCATTCTAAATCAGTACAGCAAACCATGCTATTTGTAAAAATCTCTCAGGAGCATAATACATCATAGAAGGAGTCTGAATATGATTTTTAGAACATTTATAGAACACTACTATTCTAAATTAGAAGTACAATAGTCATCTGAGGTATACTATAACATTGCCATCACAGCCATGCAAACTGCTTTTTTAAGGAAAAATTTCAACAATACACATCCCAGATTTCCACATTCTGGAATATACATTCCAGATTCCACAGTAACTGTAGGCATATGAGATGCAGACAACATATTTCACAGGCTTAGAGAATGTAGTTCAGTGCATAAGAGAATATGAGAGAATTCAACAAATCTTTTCTTTTGCAGAGGGGGTGGGGAGCTTGGGAAGGGGGGGGTTATATCCAGCAGTGATCAAGGCTTACCCCTGACTCTGCACTCAGTAATTACTCCTGGTGGGGCATGGGGGGATTAAATTGAAGCAAGGGAGACCAGAGGGATAGTATAGCAGGTAACGCATTTGCCTTGCAAGTGGCTGACCCAGGTTCGATCCCTCACATCCCATATAGTCCCCCAAGCACTGCTAATAGTGATCCCTCACTAAAGAGCCAGAAGTAAGCCCTGAACACCGCTGAATATGGCTCCAAAAGACCACATGCTCAGCATGTGTTGAGCCTTGAGTTTGACACCTGGCATCTCCATGCTACTTCTCATAGCACCCCTGGGTATGGCCCCAAGCATCATCTACTGCTTACAATTAAAATTCTAGACCCAGAGAAAGCACCATTGAATCTTAAAGTTCTTACCATGCTCTTCCCTTCCACAGAGGAGGGGGGACCTGGGAAGGATATGACACTCACAGCAAGAACTCTGCCTGTTTCTACAGGACTCATTTCTTTAGCTTGAAAACGTCTGAGCTCTGCACGTCCTTGGGTCCTGGTCAGGACAAAGACTCGGGGCTCCCCATCACAAATTCCTCACAGATAGATTTCTGAAGCAGCAGGGTGTTCCATGTCACCAAGTTCCTGAAGAGGATTCCTTGCTGCAGTCTCCAGGATAACTAAGCAGCTAGCCTCAAGAGCCCACTCATCATAATAGTATATATTCTTCTATTGATTTGAGGGCAGAGAGATAATACAGTGGGCAGGGGATTTGCCATACACATGGCCGACCCTGGAGCAACACCCCGCACACTTTATCATCCTTTAAGCCCACCAGGAGTGATCCCTGAGCACAGGGCCAAGAGTAAGCCTTGAATACTGCCAAGCGTGGCCCCCAAACCAAAAAAAAATAAGTTCTTGTATTGATTTTGAATGTTTTTTTGTTTGTCATGTTAGTGCTCTCTTTCTGCTGTTAGGACTAAGAATTTCTTGAAAATCCCCTTCTGATATACAGTTTAGTTACTGTGGTTATATTCCTCCTCTAGTAGGCTCATAGTTATTCTTCATCAATTTATAAGGAAAGAAAGGGTATAAAGTGTTTGAAAGCACACAAACTACACAGAAATCCAGTTTTATGTGTAAAACAGTTTAGGCATATATCTCACATCTCATCAACCCAGAGCCTCCAGGTATAGTCAGCCAGGCTGTGCACTGCACAACACTTGATGACCCCATATGATGCAACACCTTGCCTCTCTACAGCATACAGAAGCTTGCTTGCTTTTCTTGCTTATTTTAAGTTGTTTACTCTATGAAGAAGTCAGAGGAAGTTATTGAGATAATAAAGGTTTCTACTTACAGTTAAAGCATAATCTTCTTTCTTAAAATCATATTTCTTAAATTTGCTTTTTTTAGGAGCCTCTGTAATAATTTCTGAATAAGACACTTCAAATGACAACTCTTCAGCTTCTGGTGAAACAGTCTTTTCCAGATAATCATCATCTAAAAACAAAACAAACAAAAAAACCTCAGGATGTAGAATTGTAATATGCCACTTAAGTGAGAATTTCAGTTAAATCATAATGTAGTTTTACCATACTTCCATAAAAATAAATTTCTAGTCATCCAAACTTCACATTTCATATTCTCCATTTTAGACATTTATGTCTCATAAAAGGCATTGAGAATGCTTAGAGGAAAGTCCACCAATGAGGAAAACCTGTATGTTCTTAGAGAACTAATTTATGTTTTTGCTACTGCAGAAACAGAAGCTAAATCCTGAGAAGGGGGAGTGCTCCCCAGAATTCCTGCCTATTCCCATGCTCCAACCCTTCCCCTGTACAATACCTGCCTTAATCATTGGGCCAAACTCAATCGGGACTTCACTGCTAGGTTTGTGGATGTGAATTAATGCAAATCAACATTTGGTATTGCTTATCTAATCCGGATGGCATACATTTAGAGAGAACTGGACTGTCAAGTAATGTCTCACACTGAAATAAAGACAAAAGGATCCTTTGAGCAAAAATAAGTTAATCTCAAAACCTTTCAAGTATTCCTACACTATGTTTTCTGATTAAGTCACTGAAAGACTAAGGATCCCGCGGCTCCTTCTAGCCGCCTGTGTTCAGTGGTCTCCTGTGGCTTCCACACCTAGGACGGCCAATGCCATAGGTGGACAAAGGAGGAAATGAGGGCCAGGCTGGTTAGTGATCAGTTGCCATTTTTTTCCAGTCTCCCAAAGCGCCTGTTCCAATCTCACTAAGTCCCTCATCAGTCTCCCTCGCTCTTCTCTTCCCATTCCAACTCACTACCTTGTTCTCTCTCTAGTCTTTCTCCAACCTCCCAGCATTGAGGATAGCAACCAGACACCCAGGTTTGGTAGCACAATCGACATATGAAAGGCTTTCCTGATCTCCTGCAGCCAGGCAATCAGGCTCAAGGGCAAAATGGCACTTAAGGGTATTTCTCCTTTCTTTAGTCCAATAACATACGTCTTAATATTAGTTTTATGTATGGACTCAGTAAGAGATACATTACCCTTGTGGGGTGACTCTCCTGGGGACATCTCGCCATATATCCCAGACTACAGTGCTCAGGCCAGATTAATCTCTCCTAACCCTAGCAGGGTCCTAATCTAGTTGTTACTTTTTGGATCATGACAGAATTTGTCCATGACCATGCTCTCTAACTTATAGTTAAATATTATGGCACTTTGGCCAGGCCCATTTTGATGTCAGGGTAGCTCACAGCTTGCCCTGGGCCCATCTCGTCCCTCGTCGGGACCCTGATTTTGGGGTGCTAGGAAATAAGGGCAACTGAGGCTTAAGTCAAGAGAACAGATGCCCAGGAGTAAATATTATTCAGAGTCAATTAACTCCCAAGTTACAAAAGCATAGCATTAACTGTCTATACAAAAAGCACATTACTTTGGATTAACTATGCAACTGATTTAAGGAGAAGAGAAAAGCAATATTTTCAAGTTATCAGAGTCTGATTAGGAGATAAAGCTGATTGACCGGTTGGTGAAGCAGAGCACAAAGAGGTTATAAATAAACACAGAGGAATGGGAGTGCCTAGGGAGTACTGTGAATGGGTGCAACCCAATAAAGCTAAGCTCCCTGTGGCAAGGCAGAAAGGACAAACCAATGTTATCCTACAATTAAGAGTTTAGATTGCCATCTTGTTGCAAGAACTGATAAAATTTTTCACCTTTGTGAAAGGATTTTTTGATTCAAAAAAAGAGCTCTTCTCCTCTGCCTTCTACTATAGACAGTGATAGAAGGACAATCAGACAGAAAGGAACCAAGGGCATAAATAGTAAAAGACTGAATTAATCTTACACTAAAAGTGCAATGCCAGAGGTCAAATTCCAGTCAGCTTTGGTGGGGACAGAGTCTTACCTGCTCTATCTGTCCAACTCTAAAAGTCTTTTAAAAGAAGACTCTATTTATTTTATTTAAAAAAAAAAAACACTAAACTGAAAAGAAAGTGCAATGCAGAAATTTATAAATCAACAGATTTGTAAACAGCAATGCTAATTAAAACCACAATAAATGGATATAGCAAGAATTTAGACAACAGTAGATGCTGCATCCAAAGCAGAGGAATATTAATTGTGAAATAATAGCCTAACTTCTTAAAGACCTACGGGCTAATTCTTTGGAGAATGTAATTACACAGGCGGATGGTCCAAACCACTCAACCACTCTATGTAGACATTTATACTTCAGTGGCATGATATGAACTGAATAATAGTATGCTAGCAAATTTAATGACATAAATTCTGGCAAATCTTTTTCATTTAATATTTTTGGTACTGGCTTTATTGAGATATAATCCACATGCCACTCAATTAACCCAATTCAAGAGTATAAAGAATAGGTTTTTGCATATTCACAGATCTGTGCAGTCATCACTTCTAGAATATATTCAGCATCCCATCATGTTTTTTAACTTTGAAACAAATACAGAAAGTAGAGGGATCTGTTGTCTATATAAAGGACATTCACACTTAAGGAAAACTTTTGAAGAATCACAGACATGAAACTCAAAGGGACCTATTTCTCTGAGGAGGATGCATGACCCCATAGTCCCATCACACTGCCCGTCGAGCAGAGCGGGTGAGGAGCAGCCCGTTCCTGTGCATGGGGGAGGTGCTCACAGCCTTGTGCACCATTTGCCACTTGAGCGGCTTCCTAGCAGATCCTTGAGAAAGAGAGCCCAGTCAAAGATGCTGCCAAGTGAGCAGCTTCAAAATGACAGTGGTAGAAAAGGAAATAAAAAAAAAATTTCACTCTGTTCATTTAAATTTGGTTTGTTTGGACAGAATGAGGTGTCTGGAGGTAGATGGGAGAAATGAGAACTAAAAGGAAAGTGTCAAAATGGGGAGCAGAACACATTTTGCTTTTAGTATTTTGCTAACCATATTGCATGTCATTGTGCCACTTACCCCCAACTGCTCCCTGAGCGGACTGTCCACTGTCTGACGAGCCATTGGAATGAACTGGCACATCCGGAATGGTCTCAAGTATGGACTGCGAAGGGCAACAAGGCAAGCACAAAACATTTTACCATAAAAACAACAACAACTTCACACTTTTCACAAAATGTGATTTTTGGGGAACAAAAAAATCGGATTTCCTGTTTTTGTGTTCAGTTCATACCTGCAGAGCTCACAAGGGTTTCTCCAAAGAGAATGATACATGATAACTACACCTTCTTTAGTCTGAAGATTTCTGTTGCTCATACCTTAAGCTGTAGAAATTGCAACATTGGGTATTGCACAGTTTTACAATTATAGGCTATTCATCTTGATGTACTTGGTCACATATGTTGGTCTTAATAAACCCTAACTTATACATCTAATTACATGGAAGTTGGAGCAACCAGGTTCAAACTACTTAGCTGTATGAGGTTTTAGCAAGTTCCTGGAATTTTCTCTTCCTTAGTTTACTAATCTACAAAATGAAGATGATAATAAAACACACTTCAAAGAGCGACTATAAATTTCCAATGACTTAGTCTTTTATAAGCCACATAGAATAACTGGCACACAGTATGTATTAAAGTATATGAGGGTGGGGGGCTGGAGCAATAGCACAGTGGGTAGGGCATTTGCCTTGCATGCGGCCAACCTGGGTTCGATTTCCGGCATTCCATATGGTCCCCTGAGCACTGCCAGGGGTAATTCCTGAGTGTAGAACCAGGAGTAACCCCTGTGCATCACTGGGTGTGACCCAAAAAGAAAAAAAAAATGAAGGCTAGCAAAAAAAAAATGAGGGCTAGCTACTATTAATATATTTAAAAATTTATTTCTTCACTGAAAAATACATATAATAACTATAAAAATTTGGAGTATTTTCTTTCCTTTTATCGTAATTAATATCTTCTACTTTCTTTACCTAGATGCTCTCAAAGCATAGAGTTCTCCTGTAATATTATTATCAGAAACTGAGTGTCTGACAGCCTTGTAAATGTAAACTGAAGTGAATTTCCAATTAGGCTGAAAAGGTAGCAAAAAATTTAGATGCATATTCTACTATTTCTATCAACTTTTGTACCTTTCAAACAAAATTTTAATGTGGGAGTTATCAACTATATGTGAGAGTATGCAAAAATCAGGAATTGCATCAATACTCCCATGCAATTCACATTCCATCCCCTGCAAACTATTGTTTACTTTATCCTCATATTTTTTTTTTTTAACCAAACACCTACTTAATGAAAATTCCTTTATAATTTGCTACAAATGGCATAAGAGAGTCTGAAATTCTAGCCTGGTGTTGTCTTTCTTTTATTTTAAGGGGGATGTCACATTTTTGGGTCACTAATTTTTACATTTAATTGTGTAAATAGCAGGCGAATACAAGACAAATAAGAGCCAATAACTAGTGAAAAAAAAAACCCCAATATAATAGATATAAGTTCATATTGTTTATTGTCATTTGAAGTTTTGGTGACTAAAAACTAACACCAGAATAAAAGTAACACACTAAAATTATTTAAAAATATGTGTAGAAATTTTTAGAAGTTTTGATGAAAGTTTCAACACAGGCCTTATCAAACTTTGAAATAACTTGCTGTGAGAGAGATACTCTAAACATTTGAGTGATTCTTATTTAGGGAATGAAAAGTAATGGTTTTAGATGCTTAAATCTATGACATGTCAATTTTTTAATCTATCAAGTAGAGAAGTGTCCGTGTGCTCCATTGGCTTGGCTGGCTTTTAGCCCAGTGCACTGCTGGGAGCAGTCTTAGAGCACTTAGCTGGGGAAGTGGGCCTGGGATCTGCTGGGCGTGTCCTCAAAACCAAAACAAACAAATAAACAAACAAAATGAGTGATTGCTTATTCTGGGATTAAGGAGAAACCAGTAAGTCAGATATTATAAGTAACCTGGAGCCTATCTATGCCATATCCTGTAGTACACTGTTGTCATTCATTGATAAAAGTCACTCACATTATTTTCTCATATGAACACAGTGCAACAAAACAACCATAAGCAGAAATCTAAAAATACAACAGAAAAGCTGGTATGCACGATGCTGATAGCATTATCTTCCCAAACAATGGGGATATCCTGGAATTGTGTCATGCATAAAAATGTCAACTATCCTACATCTCCAACAGGACAAGGGATGAGAAATGACTACCCCAGAGGAACATCTGGATGCTCCCCCCTCCATCTGCTTGTCTGATATGTCACTGGCACCAGCCTGCCTCTGGATAACTGCTACCTTATCTAGCAGAATCTCTTACTTCTTTTGGACTCCATATCATATCTATCAGGTTATTGCACAGACACCAGGGGACGTGGGGAGAAGAGAAATGATTAGAGTATCTGACAAAAATGCTAAGGACCCATTAGCCAAGGTCAACTTAGTGAACTTCTTCAAAATAATGAGTTTGTTCGAGTAATTGTAGACAGCTAAGTCTGGGAAAGTAGTTAACAGAGGAGTACCTTCAGTATTAGGATGAAAGTTCTTAAATTTGCCCTGCAGGTAAAAGGAATTCTGGGTTAAGCTAGCAGTTTTAAGCCAGATCATAGGTGTAAACACAGCCGAGATGACCAAAAATAACACATTTCTGTTATTCTGTAGCAGAGACAGAAGTAAAGAACTCTGGATTTTGGATGAAATGTTATTGATTCATGGAGTCCTCCTATAAGGAAACCTAGTCATGCTTCAGTTTGAATCTCATCCCTCCCAATTATTACCAGGTTGGTGGTCCTACTGGCTGCCTTAGTTTCCTGGGATTTGAGTTCAAGATTTTAAAGTTTGTTTTAAAGAAAATTTCTTCTTTCTGACTTGTCCTTGCTCGTTACCCTGACATGCAGTTACTTACCATGGCGCCACTCCTGGGAACTGAAAAACTCCCTTTTTCTTCCTGGGACCCAAGTGAGAGGGGTGTGCTATTGGAGGAAACGTCATCTGGCTAAAAAGAGAAAGGAAATACCACTCTTACTCAGACTGATACTTTGCACTGTTTGTGTATTTTGTGTGCACAGAGCTAGAGATGTGTGGCAATACATGAAGTTTTCACTGCTTTCACAGTCACAATTACAGGCAATCTATCACCTAAATGCCTGGTCTTCTGAGAGACACTGAATTCAGAGGTAGGCCTCCTTACTGTGTGTCATTTTCCCTGACAAAATTTTGGGTTTCTTCCAGATAATTAGACATTAATCACAGAGGCTTGCTTTCCAGGAGTCATCAGGTGACTGATGGGCCAAGAAGGGCATGTGAGATTGCTACCAAAAGTGCTTCAGGCTCAGACTTTCCAAATAAAATAAAGTGTAAGGTCAGCTGATGTCAGCTTCAGGCAAACCCACAGATGACAGTCTAGAGCTTCCATGCATTTTCTACAAATAAGGATGAATGCCACGGGGAAGGATGGGAGAGATAAAAACTCAAGTATGGATGGGTTTCTGCTGAGGGGCACCATGTAGCTGCCCTGTCAGATTTAGACCACTTGTCCCAAGCTCCTCAATGAAAGGCAAAAAACAGTCCTAGTTTTCTATTCCATGCAGCTAAACAGAAAAATGAATGATCTAGTTTCTCAAATAGATTCTAGGAAGACCTTTAGCTTTTGCTGGAATTCAGGGGCAGTTGTCCCAAGGAGTTGTTTCATTTATGAGGTAGTAACTAAGAGATTTCTGCTTTTGTTTGCAATGGTTTCCTGGACCTTCAGACATTTGTTTCCTCATTGAAGGAAACTTTGTGTCAAATTGAAAATATTTGATACTTAAGAAAATCTATATTGCTGCTGGAAAGCTAGTACTCATGTAAAGGTGCTTGTCTCACAGAGGTCAACCCCAATTCGATATCAGGGTACCACATATGTCCCCCAAACACCATGGAATGATCTGAACACCAAGCCAGTCATGATCCCTGAGCACCATCAGTTCCGACCCAGAACAAATAAAAGAACTACTACAGGAAACCAACTCAAGAGTGCAAGTTGACAATTAAATATCTCTCTCAGCATGCCAACTCACCAAAAGGGGGAGAAAATACTACATACACATTGCATATATGTGATACTGGGATCGAACCCAGTTCAGACGTATAAGGCATATGCTCTACCATTGATACCACTGAGCATCATTCTTACCATAACCACAAACACATATTTCTAAATGAGTAGGTTTTTTTTTTCTTTTCTTTCTTTTTTGTTTTTTTAATGTGGGGTTGGGCTCCACCTGGGAGTGCTTAGGGTTTGTTCCTGATTCTGTGCTCAGGGATCACTCTTAGTGATACTTGGAATCATAGATATTGCCAGAGATCAAAACAGGGAACCAGGCTTGGCTACAAACAAGACAAGTGCTTTCACTCCTTTACAATCTGTCTTTTCCCGAAATGAACATATTTTCAACAGCATTTAGAAACCATCAGAGAATACCATAGTAGACCAACTGATAGATATGTCTAGAGAACAAACATATGGCATTACTTCGGTAAAATAAAAAGCTCTATTGAAAAGCAGCATAAAAGAAAATTTTTAGAGCGAAAAAAGAAAAACAAATAATATACAATTACAACGAGTAACAAAGGTTCACAGTTGAAAAAATGAAATGCTTGTGAAATTACAGTTAATTTTATAAATCCCTACTAAATAGACAGTCTATATTTACTAAATATAACTCCAGGAAAAAAATAAAACAAACTAGTTGTCCTGTGTGCGATTTCTCAAGCGAGTGTGGTAGTCTCGGCCAGTGTTTCTCAGTCTGTGCTGACTGTGGCCCACTTCCAGACTAGCTTCCTCTACCTGGTCCCTGTCATAGCAGTTGGCCTCATCATCCCCCACCTGCCCCCAGACACATGTGATTCTCACATGTAGCCCATTTGGAATATCCCGGTTTACACTGTCTCAGTCACAAATGCTGGTTTGGAGGCCAGCATGACCTCAGGCGGCCACAAGAGACATGGAAATAGAATAGGGATTGTGTCCAGGACTCCGTGCCCAATACTGCAACCACAAAGCCCCTACCACCTCAAAGGAAGGCAGAGCTACATGCCCTTAAACAAAGTATCTCAAAGAAATGTAAATGGGGGCTTAAGGTGGAAGAAACTGGACTGAACCAATTTGTGCTGAGATGAATACCAGTGCTGACCCATCACTGACCTTTCACACTCATTTCAATACTAAATATCATGCTCTGGGTAGAGATTAGACATAATAAGGAGACGGGGTTTCTGTGAAGAAACTTTTGTATCCACTGAGCTTGTGAATTCAACTTCCTGTATCTTCTCTCCCCATGTGCTTAGGTGACACTCCATACCTACCTCTGACCCTTTCAAAATGCTCCTCATTATTTGGAGAACCAACCAAGACCCCTGTTCCATTATGATTCCCTAAGGCACAAACTTACAAGCAACAATGTCACCCTAAATTTCTTCATGTCCTTTTGACCCATTCTATAAGCTGAGAGTCAAAGGACCTGGAGGTCTAACACAAGTTTAGAATGAAATTAAATCACCTTTGCCTGAAAGTAATAAATCAGAGTTCTTGATCTCCTCCAAGGGTCTTGTACTTAGTTCGTGTTAACTGGGTGACCTTTCCCCTCTACACACATTCACGAATACCCACTTTCTACAAAGAGACAATCAGCAATCTTGTTTTTCTTTTTCCTTCCTTCCTTTCTTCCTTCCTTCCTTCCTTCCTTCCTTCCTTCCTTCCTTCCTTTCTTTCTTTCTTTCTTTCTTTCTTTCTTTCTTTCTTTCGCTTTTTAGGTCACACCTGGTGATGCACAGGGGTTACTCTTGGATCTGAACTCAGGAATTACTCCTGGAAGTGCCTAGGGGACCATATGGGATGCTGGAAATCGAACCCGGGTCAGCTGTGTGCAAGGAAAACACCCTACCCGCTGTACTATCGCTCCAGCCCCACAATCAGCAAAGTTAATGGTTAGGAAAATTCTACCTACCCAACTGCAGAGAAAACACATAATTGTTTCTTAAATTAAAGGTATATCTCTGTAGACAGAGCAACAGTACAGAGAGTAGAGTGCTTGCCTTGCATGTAGCCAACTGGGCTTCAATCTCCAGCATCACACATGGTTCCCGGAGCACAAGCAGGACTCATCCCCAAGCAGAGCCAGGAGTAAGCCCCAAGCACAGCTGGGTGTGACCCCAAACTCCCAAAATATATAAAAAAAATAAATTTACACATCTAACTGTATCCAAATATAGCTACCCAACTGCAGAGAAAATATGTAAGCATTTATTATGTTAATCAATCAAAAACACACCAGTTTAGGGGGCAGAGAGTAGTGCAGTTGCTGAGAAAACCTGCCCTGCAAGCACAATGACCTTGAGTCCCAAACCCTGTTATTCCTTGTGTGCAAGCACAGCATGGCAGCTCTGCTGCTGATCCCTGACACCACAAACAATTTTTCAGCTTTCTGGGATCACAATACAGAAAAGGGGTGTAACTTTTGGCAAGCCCTAGATCCAAAGAGGTTGTGTGTCCACAAACTCTGGTGAGCACATATGTGAGCAATGGTACACAGTGAGTACCATACCATGATGCATGCACCTCGCTTAATGAGTGCACTCTCTGGAGCACATGTGTACGAGCACTGCAAAGAGGAGTGCAAGCCTTGGTGAGCACCAGGCCTGGTGTTTAGCACCAGAGGCTGTGTGCAAACTCCTGTCATCTTAACAACAAAAAATGACAACCACTGCAACAATGGAGAAAGCAGAAGAGCAATGAGAGCAGAAATGTCAAATATTTGTTCTCAAAAATAGATCAGATCCAACTCTGTGACTGTCGAGAAACTAGAGTTCTACTTTGTGTCTTCTATTTTTTAGAACGCTCTCCCTGCACGTTCCTGAACGAAGTCTTTGTAAGATCATAGATCATTCCCCTCTCTGTCAGAACAGTCTTCTGACTCTGAGAAGAGCAAGAAGACAACAGGAGCAGGACAGGAAACAAGTCAGAAACACGTGCTTGATTTCAGACATTCTTCCAGCACAGGAGGAAAAATCTAGAAGCTGAAGCCCTTCTTGTCTCCCAGTGGGAACCATGCGGCTCCCTGGCCAGATGTGCACACTCAAACATTTAATTGTGTGCGTCATTTATTGCTACATGTTCTCAAAACTAACATATTTCCACCACAAGATTTTAACATTTGGAAAATAGCTGGGAAAAGAAAAGTCACCTAAATATTTAGAGTTGATACTGAAAATACAAGGGGGAAAATATTTACATGGTAGTCTGTGATTTTTCTGTATGAGCTCATCCACGAAGATTAGGAATTTTTCTTTTTCAATTGCCTGAAACTTCTATGATCTTGCTCTGGATAAAGCAGGGCAAGGACTCAAACCATTCCATGATGTTCTCACAAGCACTACAAAAATGAGGCTATGAATGACATGTTTAATAATTTCAATTAGACTGCATCTTTACCTAAGACAAATTGAGAATATACATTTTTGACATTTCACAAATGTTTGTGGTGTTATTATTCATAACAACCCCAAACTGATGATGACCCAAAGAAGCACCAAAAGGTGAACCAGATATGTCAATAGTAGCATATTTAGGCAACAGATTCTTAGTTGTAGCAAAACAACCATATTTCTGGGACTGGATAGATAGTACAATGGGTGGGGTACTTGCCTTACAAGTAACTCCTGAGCACAAAGACAGGAATAACCCCTGAGCATCGCCATGTGGGCCAAAACCAAAACAAAAGTTTCATATTTCTAACACATGCATCAAGTGTTTGACTCTACAAGTTATAGGTGGAGGAAGGCACAAAAGTAGAAATTTAAATCCTACTAATGTGAGAGGGAAGCTAAGCCATGGTGTTAAAAAATCACAGCAGCACTTGCTTCTGAAGAAATCAGGGGACAACAAATTGGAAAGAGTCTGAGAGATATTTCTGGGGTGACAGAATTGTTCTGGTATTTTGACTGACTGTTGTTAAA